ACTAATTGATAAATCACTCAGATAAGATTCCATTCAGCACTTTTATTTTTCACCGCGAGAAATTGCGAGAAATTCGATTTACGCTATTATTACATAGAAACTATCCACCGCGACAAACTTACGAACATTACAAACCGAATAAGCAATTGTCGAGCACGAGCTTCGAATTACTCCGAGATGACTATAGTTCCAAATATATCGAGAAAAAAAAAAAAGCAAAACAGAATCTGCATAATTGAACTTATAATATGTCGAACTTCGTGTATCGATTTGCTAAAATATATCTTCTAGAAACAATTACTCAAATGTACTTTTTCTCTATTCACTTTTCGATGTCTTCGTCAAATCCAAGGGGATTTAAACGCGTAACGCCAAGATACGAAGCAAAAATACTAATATCGTAATTTTATTGCTAATCGCAACTTAAAAAAAAAAAAAAATTGCACGTCTCGATAATCCTACGAAAACTAATTTCAAAACAAGAGAGCGAGCTTACATTATTTCGTGCAGGTTTTCCTATTGTGATTGCCGATCTCGTTACATTTACCGCATTTAATTTTCCTCTTCATCTTTTCACCGACCGAATTAGGGATATGCGTTCCGACGGAGGACACGACATCGCTCGTTTCCGGGGCATCGCATTCTTTTCGACTAACGGTAATCTCGAGCCGTTGCAGCGATAACTGCCTAACTAATTCCAACATTGCACCGAGATCGTCGTCGTCGTCCAAAAAACACTCTCCGTAATTAGGTAATTTGTACGTGAGCGAGAAATTACTCGAGTTTAGCGAGTCGTACCTCGAGCACACGAAATCGACCAAGCTGCGGTAATTCGTGCCGCTGCAGAATTGTTTTACGGAGAACAATCCTTCGAACTTGAACAAGAACAAAACAGATTTTGCACTCATCCTGCACACACACAAACACACACACACACACACACGCACACACACGCGCGCGCACACACACATTGTAATTAGTATGGAAAAATTCGGAAAAAAATAAACCGTAATACAATGCGTAAGAATGTACGAAATAAATCGGTACCTGGTGTTTGATGAACCGGCGGTGATTTGATGAACCGGTGGTGAAAATGCGAATTTGTGATCGGAAAAAAAGATGAGAATGAGAAAAGTAATCGATCGGCGATTGCGATTGCGATTGCGGAAGGAAGAATGAATTGGGGGAAAGATTTTAGAGTGCAAAGAATCGGCCAGAAACGGAAAACAACTAATTCCAGAATAATCGATGATCCTACGTATTTTTATTCAAGCCCATATTTATGTTTTTTCATTTAAAAAATTATGTTAATTTAATGGGTAAATTATGAAAACCCTCCCTGTCTTGGCCTAAATTACGAAAAACACTCTCATCTATCCGTAATTACCAAAGTTTCCCCGACGTTTGTTTCTGTCTTACTTCGACCTTCTTACGGCGTGCGTTACTTTTCAAAACATCTTTTTTATTCCACTGAATATTTTGCGAAAATTGCTACCCTGCAGACGTGAAAATGTTATTTAAAGAGAATAAAACTATCGTGTAAAGGACCCCCTAAGGTTAATTTCTTTCTTTAAAAGTAGCATAAAGAAACGCACTTCTTCAGGGGTAGAGTCCGCATTTTTCCAAGAATAATCCATCGAATCAAAAAGATTATATGAAAAATCACAACGGAAACAAACGTTGAGGAGGTTGGTCATTAAGAATAGATAGGGGTGTTTTTTGTAATTTAGCTTAAGTGCAAGGTTTTTTTCCGTAATTTACCCTAATATGGGCACTAAAGCTCTAAAAATCTACATACTCCCTAGTTATAGCCATTTTTTTTCTTTAAATAAACTACATATACTTCTTAAATCTGCATAATTATGCACGTGGGAATAACTAAAATTATAAATATTCGAACTTAATGGACCACAACAGTGAGATTTCATATTAAAAGGGAGCAATATTATATATATATATATATATAATATTTTACTATTTTTTATTTGTCTTTGCTCAAAGGATGCAAATGAATTTACCTTCAAGTGATAAATTAATCAATGAGAATATTGATATCCTTAAGGCTGCGGCTATATGCAAGACTAATTCCACTTGTGCAAGACCAAATTAAAATTTTCAATGTATAAATACTATAATACCCTTATTTATTGAAAAAATAAAAAATTCCAAATATGCAAGACCAAAAATTCAAAAACACAAAAAACCCTATCACAAGACCACAAAACCACAAGACCAACTCTCATCTTCACCATCTTCCAAAACCCACAAGACCTTTCTCCTTCCTCCTCCATTAACCCACAAAACCTAGAAATTCAAAATCATCAAAACTCAACAATATCTTACAAAGATGGCAAGTATGGAGTCAGAATGACATCAAAATGGAAGATTCTACGATGGAAGAACCCAAGAATATATGCATTATGGGTTTTTTAGCTAGAATATCGATTTTCCAAAAAAAATCCCGCGCAAACGAATTCGACATGTACAGGTCGAATATTACAGGTAAAAATCGACATGTCAATGTCGATTTTTACCTATGAAATTCGACGCTTAAGTGTCGATTTGTAGCATAGTTTTTCGACACCTTGGTGTCGATTTTTGTTTTTTTCTCATTGTTTGTATTTGGTCTTACATGAGAAAAAAAAGTCAATTTAATTTATGGGCATACTTGTCATTCCATCTTAATAAAATAGAATCTTTTGGAATCTTTTTTTAATTTGGTCTTGCACAAGTGGAATGAGTATTGCATATAGCCGCAGCCTATCCTTAATCTTATAAAACAAGTGGCTGATTCAATTTCTTCAAAGTCCATTTATTTGTTACAAAATAGTACTTGTTATAAATGTAATTGCTTCATTGAAATATATATATATATATATATTAATATCAAATTAATAAAAAGATGTTTACACGGAATACGACACACGAATAATTAACTAAATTGACTATTTTACAAAATTAATAAATATGATTGGGGCCCCAGAATTGTATTTCACATAGGGCCCTGGAACTTGATTGCGACTGATGTTTAAGAGCCTGTTTGACTAAGCTTATAAGCTCTAGTTAATGCAAAAATACTTCATTACCATTTTCATGCCACCATTACACTACCTTCCAAACATAAATATATATATATATATATATATATATATATATATATATATATATATATATATATATATATATGATGATGATGATTAATAAATCAACCAATGAGGAGTTAGTTACCTGCTTAGTGCCGGGCCGTGAAACCCATCCAAGCCGATTACAAATCCGGTGTACGTGAGTATCTACACATATTCCTTGAACATTATTCCACGCTACATTCATTACCTATATATAAGAGCAAATAATCTTCAATTTATTTTATAAATAGCGCATCGAGAGGTGATAAAATTACGTAGTTGGTATCTTTCGTATCTCACCAAATGAGCCATTTTGGGACCAATCCCAGGAAGCTCGAGCAATTCAGACAGCGTACTAGGAATATCTCCGTCGTACTTTGATAGACAAATTTTCGCAATCTTTTTCATGTTACTTGCTTTTCTTGAATAAAATCCCACCTGTAAAAAGAAAAACAGAGTTAAACAAGTTGATAACACTAGGTAGGGGTGAAAATCGGACGGACTGGAATCAGCATTTTCACAAAATTCGCAAAAAAAAAATAAAAATTCGGAAGTGAAAAATTAGTTAAGAAAATCTTCTTAAAAATCAGAAATATTACAAATGAAAATAAAAAAATCTGGAAATTTTGGAACTAATTTCGTAAAATGAAAACTGGACCGGAAATCAGAGTCTCTTATATAATCAAATTCCGATCCAAAAAAATTCGAAAAAATAATCAGAAGTTGGAATGAAAATATTCTTCCAAAATCGGAAAATAGAGAAAGAGAGAGGCTTACAGGGTAAATTAGTTCCTTTATTGCACCTTCATTCGCTCCGTCAATGGCTTCCGCCGTAAGCAAATCCTTTTCAAGAAGCCGTTGAATAGCTCCTGCAAGACAAAAAATACGAGTGGCAAAGTAAGAAAATCTCGACCATAGCAAATTCATTATGGAAAAATAGCATAAATTAAATTCCCGTAAAATTTAGAATAAATCGGAACTTGCCGTGAGTAACTTGATCCTTTGTTTGGCTTGACAATAGTGACGATACCAAAACCGCAAACCTTCGTTCCTGAAAATCCAATAGTAACGAGAAATATAGTAGCATGAAAAGCATATCAAAGTATATGCGTCATGATTTAAGAATTTTCAACAATAAATTTAAATTAAAGAAAACTACCTTAGGAGGAAGGGAGCTGCCGGCTTTTTCACAACCCATCGAGTCTACAGGAGCATCTTCCGAAGACCTCATTGTACGTATTCCTTCTAGAACCTTTTCCCAGTTCTCAGGTAGCTTTGCTGTATCACAAATTAAAAAAAAAAAAAAAGTTAAATATTTGGCCGATTTTAAACTAAAGGGCAAATTACGGCCACCCTCTGAGGTATGTCCAAATTACGGAAAAACCCCTCTTGTTTGGGTAATAACAGCCACCCCCTCCTTTTAAATATTTTTACATAAAATTTATGTAACTCGGTTATTCACCGGAATATTCAGTTCGGTAAACAGTATGAAATGTTGCCGTACCGAAATTTCGGTTCGGTGTTTTAACGAATTAACATTCTTAAATTTACATCTGGAGGGGTATTTTTCTAAGATAATACATAGTTGATGGAACATGAGGGGGTTTTTCGTAATTTGACCATAACTCAGGGGGTGACAGTAATTTGCCCTAAACTAAATGATAGACTGCGGTAGAGCTCAATTTGCAACGAGTGTGCCAAATTTTGTCGTCAAATACTCAATGACAACAATATAGTGACGGTTTAAAGTTTCATTCATATACTAATCTAAGACAACCTTAAAACGAACTTCGAATACGTAAACCTTTGAACTTGGTTTGGTTGCGAAAAACGAGTGTCTAAAGTGAAGAAAAGCATCCTCAAAATGCAACGAGGCCATTTCTTAACAAAAATACGAAAAAGGAATCTACGACATTAGAGATCATTAAATTCTGATTTAAATATACAGTTAAAATTAAACCTCTATAAATTAATACAATCAGAACCAGCAAAATTCTATTAATTTAGAGGAATATTAAATTATCGAACAAATAATTTAATACGTTTTCAACGAGCCGGGACCCATAAAAACTATTATATAAGCGAGGTTATTAATTTATCAAGGTTCTACTGTATATACATGTTAAAGTTAAATAACGTACTCAAACGGGAAACACTGTTGCCATTTCCATATGCAAAATCTTCAATCTCGGGTAGACTGCATGGCTGCGTCAAGTAAGACGAAAGCTGCTGTATAAATTATTTCATCGAGCACAAGATAAAAATGATTCAAACCCGTTACGAAAGAAATTACATACGCATTAGTATCAACTTAAACGAGCCACACCGATATCGGTCGGTAAATTTTCAAGTGGCACGATTCGCTACATTTTAAGACGAACGATTTAGCATTTTTCACAAATCAAATAGGGCATGACTGAACAAAATTCCTCCATGTAAAATGTAAATTTACGCAATTAAAATCCGAAAACGAGCCCTACGTAATAATACCAACAAAACAAACACTCAATTAACAGCACACTAATCAGGAAAATAAAATGAATTCACTAATATTACAAAAAAAATTAAAAAATTAAAAAAAAAAAATCAAATATACCTTTTCATCAATAATTTCAGGATTAATTTCTTCAACTATGGGTTGAACAGTTTTATTGGATCTTTTTTTTCTAATATAGACACGAACAGATTTTTGTGCAGATTCATCACTTGCAGTTTCACAACCTGAAATTTGAAAAAATTGGGGCCCTCTTTTGCAATAAACAAAACAAAATAGAAGCATTTAAAGTAAATTTCTGACCTGAGTTTTTCGATTGAATAGAGGGGTTTATCTCCCTTTTGGCCGCCGATGAAAGTCTGGTTATTCGCATTTTGATGGAAGAAGACGAGGGTTTGATTTTCGGTGAAGTTAAACGTACCAGTGAACAAATGTTCTTCGCGCTAGGATTGTACATTTCTTTTTTCTTTTTTTTATTTTTTATTTTTTTTGAGTGAAGAGAAGCCTTTTTTATTTAGGGTAAATTACGACCGACCCCTGAGGTAAGGACAAATTATAAATTACGACCGACCCCTGAGATTCATATTTGGGTAATTACAATCACCCCTCAACTATGAATCTTTTTAAATGTCCACGCTTATGGTGTCAAATTCAATAGAATCTTTAAATTCTATGGAGTGTTGTCTAGTTTGTATTCGTTTTGTGCAAAAAATGCAGTTTCTGATGCACCATAATATGATATTTACAAACTAAGAGACACGTCTCATGATCGTCTTGTTTCAGAATGTGGAGCTCGAATGGGGTAAAACGGGCACAAACTTGAGGATATTCTGCATAATCTAGAAGATTCGGCTCAATTTAACACCTCAAGGGTGAATGTGTAAGAAGATTCATAGTTGGGGGTGGTTGTAATTACTCAAATATGTGGGAGGTTTTTTCGTAATTTGATCTTAACTCAAGGGGTGGCCGTAATTTACACCTTTTATTTATTTATTTTATTAGCCTTGTGAAAATTTAAAATTGATATACATATATAGGAGAAAGGAGATTCCTATTTCCATCCAATCTTAATTTTTGAAAATTTTGATTTTTTTTTTCTTGTGAAAACTATATTTATAATGTTAAATTTTTATATATTATATTTGAATAAAAAATAAAATTTCAAATGCAGACAAGATTAAACAAATTTCATTTTTCTGAAATTATTCTATTCCAATTTACGAAATTTTGATTTTCGATTTTTCGAAAACTTGGTACGAGATTCGAATTTCAAGAACTAAATGGAGCGCATCCCGCCCGAGAGCAAGTTTTATCTATTTCCTTATTACTAATTCATTAGTGATTATAGATAGTTTATAGTTGAAACAAATACTTGTACAAATAATGTTAAAACAACTTAATTATAAAAAAAAAAAGAATTTGGTATGCAGAAAATGAGTATACAAATCAAGAACTATAGAGCCTTAAACATTGAAGGTGGAACAAAATTACAAAAGTACCCAAGAAGTTCAATACATAGATTCAACTAGCTTCATCAACATGAAGCAAAAGATAGAATTTTTTTTTGTCTCGAGATTCTACTATCGACACGTTTTAAGTTGAACTCGCCGCACAAAGTCTGTTCAGTGCGATTTACAATCTCGTATATTTTACTAGCTACTGCACGTGGCCGAGGTTTATCCAGTGCGCATTTATGACTACAGATTTCTTTGTCATATAGAAAAAAAAAAAAAGACGAGATTACAAATTTGTATAAATCTTACTAACCGTAAATAAGCTCTCCTTATAAACAAGTACCTCCAACCTACTTCGTTTACCATAAAATCCAAGATTTTTAATTTCTCGATTGGAACAATTATACATCACCAACTCCCCTCTACTATTTTCCAAAACAAATTCATCGTTTTCCCACAACGCCAGCGGCCTCTCCACACTCGAAATAGGGCCAATACTTGCTATCTTACACCAGAAATCGGCGTTCCCTCCTAACTCGTTCGCGATCCATACATCGAAAACTTTGTCCGAATCTTTGATTGGATACACAATCAAACCAATTGCTGATTGTTTTAGTGGCATAATAGCTCGAGTAATCCCTCCAAAAACATCATTAGTACTAATTAGTGGTGGTAATTGTGTGATTTGGAATATCTCATTCATCATATCAAATGAAAGAATCACATCAAATTTATTACAATCTTGAGCCAACCAACAAAATATTTCATTCTTGTATACCATACTCCAAAGATTATTGTACATAATATCCGCAGGCAAAATACCGTCGTATTTTCTCCACGAATTTAATTTTAACGAGTATATCTCGACTCGGTTAACAGAACCGCAAAACAAGATTTGCATTACCTTGAAATCGCGGGTTTCGGAATCGAAACCGAGTCCGATATCACCACCGAGCACTTTCGAACTACGCGGGATTTTCGATATGGGTAGTATCTTGAAATCTCGAATGCTAGGGTTCCATAGGGCAATGTTATCCGGATATCCGTAGAGACAAACGATTCCGTTACAAGGGCCGATCAACCTAACGTGATTGAACATGTTGTTGAAAAACGTCGGAAGATCTTGGTCGAGGGCGAAAGCGTCTTTTCCTTCTTTTCTCAACAACGAGACAACCCTCTTGTTCGTAGCGTTGTCGCGCCTGTTGATGAGTAGAGTCTCGGAACCTTCCGTCGACGCGATCGTTTGGTGGTGTTTGGATACAAATGTAGGATTCTTGATAATCATTTTCCATGATTTACAAACAGATTTGAATCTAATCAATGATAATACTGGTAATCTTGATAATATTTCTTCAATTACATCTTCTGGTAGACTCATTCTTCAATTTTTTTTATTTTTTATTTTTTTGAATTTTTTTTTTGAATTTATTTATAGGGACAAATAATAAGAGAGAGAAACTTAACTAACTTGCAAATTTAAACCTTCCATTTGAGATAAAACAAACAAAGATATATGTGACATTTACTATATTTAAGACGAAATTCGATACCGGTGAAATTCGAACGATGCAAAAGCACTAGAGTAACATCAATACATATATCGTTTCTAGCACATAAAAATGGACATCGTTGTTATTTTTGAAACAAATAAATTCTTGTCCGAATATCTCACAATTTTAGTTGTAATTAGACAAAAATAAAAAAATCTACTCGACTTTTTTACCCCCGAAATTGCCCTTGGGGATTCTTCCAAGAACGCCCTTGTCCAGCTTTCGGTAGTTGTGTTGAAGCTGTTCAAGAACATTGCTTATAAACCCATCAACTTGATCATCGTATCTCTCATACAGTATCGGCAATGTGTGGGCCCCAACGAAACCTTCCGAACAACAATTTTTCATAGAATTATCAAATAAATCGGAGCTCAAGTTTTCACATGCACTACTAAGTAATAAGTAAAGAAATTTACGGAAAATATTTTCTACACAAAAATCAATTTTCAAGATCAGAAAGTTGCAAAATTGAACTTTTACAACCATTTTCGTTTCTCGTTTTCGAAAGGCTTACCGATATATAACACGGTCAGAAAGTTGCACCAGGTTCCGATAATAGCAGCAGCCCACAAGCTAGCAATAACCTGCAAAATATCATTAAGCAAATTGTTTCGTTATATAATAGAAAAAAAATAATTTAGGATGAGAATTAATTAGCAACTTTTGGAAATTTTAACAGTTTACGAAAAAAATCGAGAAGAACACAAACAAAAGAGAAAGAAGGACTATAATCGAACTCATTTTAATCGGTTATTATCCACAATATATTCGAAGGAAAAACAATAAAAAAATAAAAATGAAGCCGAATAAAAGTAAAAGAATTGAAATTACCGCAAGAAATTGCTTAATATTTCCACCGCAAGAAACATCCTGCAAGAATTTCAGACCATGATTCACTTGATACCCGATCGCCCTTCCAATGTTGACAAAAACCTCATCGGGCAAAACAACACGAGGCACTCTCGATGGAGACCTATCGTACATTAAAAAAAATTATTTTTCTTTAATTAAAAAATCTTGAAAATCACACAAAAAATCCACATTGAAATATTTTTTACCTATTTAATATCCCGGAAGCATTTTTCCAGGCGAACTGAGCAACCATCCCCATAACAAGAACAAGGCTTAAAAGCGTAAGCAAATTGTAATTTAGCCATTCGAATAAAATCCAAACGACCGTAGCACCGGTTAGAACACTAGCCGAGATTTTCTTGTTCCTCCAGAGTAGCACATCAGCAGCTATACATACAAATTCAATTGAAATAAAGCAGCTATACATACAAATTCAATTGAAATAAATTACAGTAGAACCTCGATAAATTAATAACCTCGATTAAATAATAGTTTCTCTCGGTCCCGACTCAGTGAAAACGTGTTAAATTATTAACTCGATAATTCAATAATTCGCTAAATTAATAGAATTTCACTATTCCCGACTGTATTGATTTATAGAGGTATAACTGTAGTTATACGAGTCAAATAAATAATGAGGATAGTGACTCAATATGCATACGGAAACTGAAGGTGTTTGAGAAACTAAAAAAAAATTCGTACATTTACCCCCGCCCAAGATATGGTGAATTGGTTTTTCGCGCCCAAACAAGCGGTTGAACTGAGAAGTGACGGAATCCAACTTGTCCTCCTCGAAAAACGAGCCACTTTTGTGCCTCGATATACTGTCTGAAAATGTTTCCCTGATGTTGCTTACCAGATCCTCTGCTGTTATACCCTCTGGCATTTTTTTTCTCTGTACTCGAGAAAAAAAAAATTAGGACATTATATGCATGTGTATATATATACAAGTAATCAAGTATACTTTCGGAATTTTAAGAAAATAAAGATAAGGGTAAATTACGGCCGCCCTCTAAGGTAAGGTCAAATTACGAAAAAAAAAACCCTTTAATGTCTGGGTAATTCTAAGTTCTAACCACCCCTCAACTATGAATCTTCTTACACATCAAATTCAACAGAATATTCTCTTGTTTTGTGCAAAAATGCAGTGTGCACCACAATCTTATATTTACAAGCCAAGAGACACATTTTATGATCATTTTGTTTAAAAAATGTGGAGTTCAGATGGGTTCAAATGAATACAAACTGGAGACTATTTCACATAATTTAGAAGATTCCACTAAATTTGACACGACAAGGATTGACATGTAAGAAGATTCATGAGTTGAGGAGTGATTGCAATCACCCAAATATGAGGGGTATTTTCGTAATTCGACCTTACCTCATGGATGTCCGTTTGTTGTATCCATTAAAGAAGGGAATAATTAGCACATCAAAACAGAGTTGTTGAAAATAAAGAAGAAATGCAAACTCAAATAGATACAACAAACGTCATTACATAATAATTATGATGATTAATTAACAAGACTATGCTAACACTTCTATACACGTGAGCTTCAGACATCAAACCCAACAAATATATTTAAAAATAAATAAAACCAAATAAGCAGGGATATTTAATTCCACTAAAACCCAGAACACAATTTTGCATTTAAACAGCATACAAAGGTCAAACAAGAAGAAAACAAATTCATCAGAAAAAGATAATAATAAATAACTACAGATTTAAATGATAAAAAAAAAATCAATAAATTGAAATAAAAATCAAAACTTTACCTGAGCTGCAAACGTTGAAGAATGGAAGAAGCTAGGTTTTAAATATATGTAAAAATGGCAGCAAAGAGGAAAAGGGGATGACTTGCTTTGGAAAGTGTGAGATTCTTTTACTGCTATATATATACCCTAATTTCAATTCATTTCAGTGTCAATTATATTATATTTTATATGTATAGATATAGATACATATATAGATACAGATACATACAAAGCGACAGCGTTTCACCTACCCACCTCATGTTTTTATTACTGCATATTCATTGGTTCCTACCTTCATTAAAGTTTCTTTACACGTATTAATAATATTAATAAACATGTTTAGATTTCACATAAAGATGTATTAATATGATTAATTAATGTTTGTCCCCTCTATTTCTCTCTCCATTAGTTTTTATTTTATTTTATTTTTCCTTTTTTTGGTTTTTGTAAAATTGAAATAATTTATGAGTAATGAGGACGAATTGAAATTTGGATAAATTACAACTACCCTTTGAGGTAAGGTTTATTTACGAAAGAATCTCTTATTATGCTATAATTACATCCACCATCTCAATTAGTAAATTTCTTACATTAAAACTCTTTTGTAGAGAGTGGATTTAAAAAAATTATAAACTGCAGGAGGTTGGATGCAATTTTTCAAAAACAAGTGATTGGTTGTAATATATATATAAATAAATAAATGAGCTGAGCTCAGCTCAACTTGAGCTCGAGCTCACCAAATTTAACTCAATGTCGAGCTTGAAAAATCTAGCGAGTTCGGCTCGAACTCGACTCATTTACACCCCTAGTAAGAAGAATCGGGTGATTTTGCACCATTATTTATATATATAAATGTGTGTGTTATTACGTGTAGATCAATGATGCTGAATCATCTGATGTATTTCATCGATCGTAACATCTACAAAACCGTATTTTATTTGGATAAGCAACAAAAAAGAAAAAAAAGGATAAGATGCTCATTGTTTGTCACGTGACCACTACAATAGTATTTATTCACAATAGACCACACAAGAATCCGTGTGAGTTAGGGATTATTTAGGTACAATTGACCAAATTTGTCACGTTTGGTTATCTTTATTTTATTTTTTTTAGTTAATTGTACAATTTTGAAAATAAAATGACTTTTTTTTCTTATCCATAGTCAAGTTTATTGAATTTATTTATAGAACATGTCAAACTCGAAATAGTGGAACTCCTTTTTTGATTTTTTTTTTTATATTATTGAATTTCCTTTGATTTTTGATTTCTTCAAGATTTTTTTTAGAGACCAAGTCATAATTATAGGAAAAAAATATGAATAAAATTAATAAATTTTCAAATAAAAAAAAAACATTTATTAAATATTCATTAACTATCAACTAATTATTACTACAAATTGTTAGCCAATTATTATGAACTATTCAATAAATACTTTAAAAAATATTTATTATCTAATTACTAAAATCTATTGATCAATAATTAATTATTAACCAATTAATTAATTAAAAATTAAAAATTAAATATTTATTGTTAGTTGTTCATTGATAATTAAATACGAACTAATTAACTAAAACATAACAAATAAACAAAAAACAAAAAAGAGGAGAGAACACCCACCCAACATGGACGTGTGTGGCGTTTTTTCGCATCTATTTTGGGACTGAAATCGGCTATTTCACGCCCGTTTCCGACGTGAATGGACAAAAAGAAAACGAATATTTCTAAGCTCTAGAGAGAGGTAAAGTTTCTAAGAATTGAAACGATATTCGTAAAATTAAAACGATATAACCAATATTAAATAAAGGCCCAAATTTTGAGTGATGTAGGTAAATTGGCAAAATCTAAATAGGCCCAATAATTGAACTAAAGACGAAAGCCCCACTAGCCTTATTCTTATTATCTCAAAACACAAGTTCATTTTTTTTCTAAATAAATTAAAATTGGGACTTAAGTATTACAATTTTTATATTATATAGGGTAAATTACGGAAAAAAAACCCACATATCCGTAATAACCAAAATTCCCCTCTAATTGACTGTTGATTGAGTTTTTTAGCAGAAAATGCGTACAATCTATTATACTTTATGTTAAATAAGTGAGAAATAAAAGAAAATATCTAAAATTGTGTAACGTCTATTCATTGGAATAAAAAAAGTCCGTAAAAAATCATAGGGTGTTGGTGTAATAAGAAGGAAACAAACCTCAGAGAGTTTTTGATAATTACGAATATGTGAGGATGCTTTTCATTATTTAACCTAAGTTCAGGAGGTTTTCGTAGTTTACGCTATTTATATATTCAATAATTAGATATTTGAAGCCGATACAAAAATATGACATTGCATAATTCGACCAATTACATCTTCCTCAACCTTATCCTTTCCAATATCCACAACCAACCATTCCCCCTTCACATATTACACGTCAGCATGCAGCACACACACAAAACACCATCAAATACACACACACAAACAATCAAGAAACTAGCTAAAAGCCAAAAATAATTAAATAAGATTAAAGTTAATTATTATAATATAATATAATTATTAGAAATGGCATCAATTGCATGTTTTTTGGATCACCATACAGCAGCAATAAGAACTTGTTCATCTTCTTCTTCGACTACTCGGCGCTACGCGCCACCAGTGAAGCCGAGCCAGCTGGTCTGCCGATCAGTACAGAAGCAGGCGGCGGCTGATGGTGGCTCAGCCGCCGTCGTTTCCCGGAGGTTGGCTACCATTGTCCTGATCGGCGCGGCTGCTGTTGGCTCAAAGGTTTCACCCCTGCTGATGCTGCTTATGGAGAATCTGGTTTTCTTATTACTCTTTTTCTTTATTTAAGTTAATACCATAAAATTAGAACTGAATTTTCGAACTCCGTCGATTTTGATCTGATCTTTTTTATATTTTTTATTTTTGCAATATTTAATTTTTTTGACTCTGAAATTTTATGTTTTCCCACCAAAAAAATATTTTTTACATATAATTTTTCATTTTAATTATGATTTCTGATCAATTTTTTTCCCAGAAACAATTTTGAACATCTGATTTTTTTCTTCAAAAGATATATATATTTTTAAGGGTCAATTATGGTCACCACCCTAAGATAAAGTTAAATTACGAAATAACCCCTCATGTTTGGATAATTACAACCACCCTTTAACTATGAATTTTCCTACAAGTCCATCCTTATGGTGTCAAATTCAACATAATCTTTTCGATTCCATGGAATGTTCTCTAGCTTAAACTCGTTTTGTGCAAAAATGCATTTTATAATGCACCACAATCTAATATTTACAAGCCAATGTACACATCTTATAATCATCTTGTAAATGTGGAGCTCGAATGTGATAAAACGGGTACAAACTGGAGAATATTCAACATAATCTAGAAGATTCCACTAAATTTGACACTGCAGTAAAAAGATTCATAGTTAAGAGGTGGTTGTAATTATCTAAACATGATGGGTTTTTTTCGTAATTTGACCTTACCTCAGGGAGGGTGGCTGTAATTTACCCCTTTTTTTTTATAATGTTTTTTTACAAAATAGAAACGGAAAAAATCGACGTCCCAAGTCGAATATTTCCATAGTTTCGATTTCCAATTTTCCATTTTTTTAATCGAGATTAGAATTGGTTTTTTACTCTAAAAAGAATACGAAAACGCTAATTTGTTCGATTTCCGCCGCTAAATATTATATACAACATATGACCTTTTTTACTAGATGCAACTACTAGGGTTTCAATCCATCTCTCATACTTAGATAATAATAAAAAAAAAAAAAAAATTGCAGCAAACATATTTGGGAAGCCAAAAACAAACACAGATTTCAAGCCATACATTGGAGATGGATTTAAGGTATCTATCCCTTCGAAATGGAACCCTAGCAAAGAACGGGAATTCCCCGGTCAAGTTCTCCGGTACGAGGATAATTTCAACGCCACGAGCAATCTCTCCGTAATGATTACTCCCACCGACAAAAAATCCATCACCGACTATGGTTCCCCTGAAGACTTCCTCTCTCAAGTAACCATACATACACATTATACACATATATATCTATACATACATATTATACGTATAATTATATTTTGATTAAAAAAATCATGGATTCGCCACTGCTGCTGTTCAGGTGGACTATCTACTAGGGAAACAATCCTACTTTGGCAAAACTGACTCAGAGGTAAATCACAAGTACTCGAGCTCGTTTGCCTAAGCTTATTTTAAACAATGTATTGATAAACTCTTACTTTTTAAGAGCTAATTAATAAGTTGTTATGCCTTATTTTTTAGAATTAGTTTTTAAAGTATTTGGATAGTGAACTTTATAATCTATTTTTAACTGACTATAAGCTCTTAAATATCTTATTAACACTCTGATTATATGTAAGAGCTTATATTTTTTTGTTTTTTTTCCTTTTGCATTTAGGGTGGATTTGATTCGGGTGCAACTGCGAACATATTGGAGACATCAACTCCGGTGGTTGAGGGTAAGCAATACTACTTCCTGTCGGTGCTGACGAGGACTGCCGACGGAGATGAAGGCGGCAAACACCAACTCATCACCGCCACCGTCAAAGACGGTAAGCTCTACATCTGCAAAGCTCAAGCCGGAGACAAGAGATGGTTTAAAGGTGCTAAGAAGTTCGTCGAAAGTGCAATTACTTCTTTCAGTGTTGCTTAACAACAACATTCCATACAAGAAAAAATCGAGCTTAATTGAGTTTTGTTTTCGTAAACCGATATTCGACGTTTCACATTAATTCTCGTTTTCGATGTTGGCTTATAAGAATCAAAAGTACTCTAAGAAGAAATAGGATATGAGGATTTATTTTTTGTTTCTGAGGTTTAATATTCCATTTAATATTTTATTCAACTTATATTATTATGATAGTCTATTAATTAATTAAGGATAAATTACAACCACCCTTGAGGTATGGTCAAATTACGAAAATCCCCTTTTGTTTGGATAATTACAACCACCCCCTCAACTCATCAAATTTAGTGGAATTTTCGAGATTAGATAGAATATTATCACTTTTTTACCCGTTTTATCTTATCCGAACTCTACGTTTTGAAGCAAGATGATCATAATATGTGTTTTTTGGCTTGTATATATTAGAATGTGGTGCATAAAAAACTGTATTTTTACACAAAACGAGTACAAACTAGAGCACATTTCACAGAATCTAGATGATTATGTTGAATTTGACAACATAAGGGTGGAGGTGTAAGAAAAAATCATAATTAAAGAAATATATGTAATTATCCAAACAAGAGATTTTTTTTTTATAAATTGACCATACATCAAGGGTGTTTATAATTTACCCATTAGTTGATTTACGTCCAATTTGATCCAGAATTTAGTCAAATACACTAAAGTAAACGAGTCTATAAATGGCTTCAGCTGCTACTTTGACTTTATTATGTCCTTTTTTCTTTGGAGTGGAGTAAATGACAAATACTAAATAATAAATACTAAATATGCCAACCATAGACTTAGAATTGATCCCTTTCTCAATAAGCCAAAAAGAAATGGAAATTAAATGAATTATTAGGCAAAAGTTGCTACCAATAAACTATACTTGGTTCCTAGGAAAAGCAAAACAATTCTTTGTCTAACAATCTCGGGTTTAATAAATACTTTATCGTTTTTAAATAAGTGTCATTTTTCATAACGTTTTAGATCAATTTGAATCATAGTAAAAAATAAATGGTAAATTACAACCACCCCTAAGGTATGGACAAATTACAAAAAACCCCTATTGTTTGAGTAATTACAACCACCCCTCAACTATATATTTTCTTATACGTCCACCCTTGCAGTTTCAAATTTAGTGAAATCTTCTTGATTATATGGAATATTATCACTTTGTTACCCGTTTTATGACATTCGAGCTCCACATTTTGAAGCAAGATGATAATAACATGTGTTTTTTGGCTTGTATATATCAGATTTTGGTGCATCAGAAACTGCATTTTTACACTAAACGAATACAAACTAGAACACATTCCACGAAATCTAGATGATTATATTTAATTTGCCACCATAAGGGTTGAGGTGTAAGAAAAAGTCATAGTTGAGGAGGGTAGATGTAATTATCCAAACAAGAGGGATTTTTTCGTAAATTGATCATACCTCAGGGATAGTTGTAATGTACCCAAAAAAATGTATTGAAGTAATTAGGCACTACACCAATCAAATTAAGTTGTAAACTTACCAACTTGAAATAAAACATAGTACAATCATTAATAAAAGATATTGTAATGATTTCACTATTATTAAAGGAGTGGTGTGGGATTGGCCTATATGCATTGTCACATCATTAATTTGAAGTAAAGTTTTTGACAAGATTCCAATTCATTTTCTATGGGTGTAGTGAATTCTTTGGTGACCTTTTGCTATTCGCCCCTTGTGATTGTGTTTTTAGCTACATGCGTTGACTTTGACCGTATGTACATTAGATAATAATTTCCAAGAAGACTAACAAAGTCTATATAAGTAGATAATCATGTGTATCCACGAAAAAATATCTAGGCGTAATAAATCGGCTTACGAGATTCTACATCGGGTGGCATTTACCATGTGATTTTAAATCGTAGATCTAAATTAAATAACTATCCACTGAGTATATGTGTGTGTGCTATTATGTGTATATCTATTGTTTAAAGCTACATGGTGTATTTAACGGGTCTATATTCTATAAAACCGGCATAATCTAAGACATTATAAATTCCTTTTCTTTTAAATATTATTGTAACCTTTTTTATTTATTTTGTCACCAAGACATTGTTCCCCATCATTTCAAAAAATATAATATTTTGGAAAGAAAAAAAATACACTTTTGGTCCCTTGAGTTTACAGCAATTTCACATATTGTCCTAATTGTTTACAGTCCTCATGTTTCAAAATTTTAACACTTTGGGTCATTTCTGTTAAATTTTCGTCAGTACGGACGGAATCAAGCATGTGTCTGTCACTATATATCTGAACTGACGGACTAAAAGTAAATTGACGGAGATGACAAAAAATGTTAAATTGTTGAAATATATGAGCTAGGGACTAAATTTTATGTTTTGTAACAAGAGAGACCCAAAATGTAAAATCGAGATAAACTCAGTATTTGGCGGCCATCGCAAATACAAATACTGCTTAGCTCGTTCGGTCAGTAAATGGTTGGTGTGACAATTTCCGCTGTTAGGACCTATATTATTTTACCATTTCACTAATTGATTTTCGTACTCCTGTCTAGGTGATTCATATTATTGACAAATTAATAACATATTCATAACTAAATTATAATTAAATTATTACCAATAAATCAAGGCAACTCAACCTTTTCAAACGTTTCTACAAATTTGCAATGTTTTGAATGACAAAGATTGATATGTAAACAATATTTATTTTGCCCCCAATCAAATATCTTTTACGAAATATCTTCTCATTTTATTTATTTATATTCGGTTTTCGCAACTTGTGAGTATGGTCCCTCTTTTAATGTTCATTTATTTGCTCCATCAATGAAAAATTCCCCAACCAAGAGGAAATTTGTGACTTCTGACTCTTCAATTTCGACTTTATCGTTTTATTTGGTGTATCAATAAAAATAGAAGGGTAAATTACAACCACTCCCTAAGGTATAGTTAAATTATGAAGAAAAAAAATCTTTTATGTTTGGATAATTACAACTACCTCCCTCAACTATAAATCTTTTTACACGTCCATCATTATGGTGTTAAATTCAACATAATCTTCTAATTCCGTGGAATGTTCTCTAGTTTGTACTCGTTTTGTGCAAAAATGCAGTTTCTGATGCACCACAATTTTGATACATACAAGCAAAAAAACACATCTTATGATCATCTTGCTTCAATAAGTGGAGCTCGAATGTGATAAAACTGGTACAAAATTGATTATATTCCATATAATCTAGAAGATTCCACTAAATCTGACACTGCAAGTGGGACATGTAAGAAGATATATAGTCGAGGGAGTTGATTGTAATTACCTAAAAAATATGAGTTTTTTTGTAATTTAACCATAATTTAGGGGTGGTTGTAATTTACCTAAAATAGATTTGATCAAGTCAAATCGAGGATATGATTTGTTACAATGCAAATTTCGATTATTTATTGCAATTTCATCATATGACCACATCCAAATAAAAAAATAAATAATAATAAATAAATGTTACCTAGTATGCCAAAAATGCATTTTATTTCTACCTAAAAAGAAAATCCCCTTGGAAATAGCGTTACGCGGTTGGCCGTAGTACAGAGGGAAAGACCCAGCACATGCTATCGACATTATTTGATTTGACTTACATATATCGAAAAAACCACCAATTCAATAATTACAAAAATCATTTAATTCGTCTCTTCTAACAGTTAGAGCACATCAATTTACGTTAATTGATTCAAATTTGAATCTACTTATTAACGGTACGCCTACATGTTGTGGAGAAATCGGCCTAGGGTCGGGGCGAATGGTCTCTCTTAAAATTTAAATCTTTTTACTACTATATATAATTTATTATATTGGTATAGTATTCGGATGATTTTTAACAATTTAGTTTAATGTAAAAAATAAAATTGAGAGTATTACTAATTGAAAAAAAAAATCCACTAGATTATACATATATATTTCTTTAGTCCAACAATTTTATTTTTTAGTTCATCCAAAGTCCGAATAAATGCCAAAAAAAAAAATCAAAAATCGAACCCCTGAAATTTAATTATTTTAGTGTATATTATTCGGCCCATAGTTATAATATAGAGTAAAAAGCAGTTTGCCCCCTAAACTAAGGGTCGATTTGCACTTTACCCCCCAAACAAAAAAAATTTGCACGTTTTTACCTAAACTCATTAATTCGTTGCACGGTGCCCCCTAAACTCAATTTTCCGGCAATTTTAACCGGAAAGTTAAAACATGTGCTTTGCACGTGAGATTTTGAGGGATAAATTTGTCCCTTCACTTGCATCTTTAATATTAAATACAAATAAATATAAAAAAAAGAAAAAAAAAAAAAATAAATAAAGGAAAAAGAAGCTATCATCCTTCCCTGCAAACCACTTCCGAATCCTCCAGGAAATAGCCCGGATTCGAGCTGTAGAGCAAAATCGACGAACAATTAAGCAAAATCGACAAGCAACAGAGCAAAATCGACGAGCAACAGAGCAAAATCGACGAGCAACAGAGCAAAATCGACGAACAACAGAGCAAAATCAATGAACAATTGAGCAAAATCGACGAACAATTGAGCAAAATCGACGAACAATTGAGCGCACAAATGAAATTGAGAGAAGAAGAAAAAGGCGTACTCTTGAGCTCATCGAGCCAAAAAAACGACGCGTTCTTCACGATGAAGAGCTGCTCCTTCTCCGTGGTCCAGAGCAACCGCCACGTGGCCGACAGAGATCTGTCGGTGGTGACGGTGCCGCGGCCGACGGCGGCTAGGGAATCGATTGCTTCGACTATTTGGGAGAGCTTTTGGGGGTCGGCTTGGGTTTTGATGTCGTGGTCCTGATCGGAGACGAGGCGGAGGAGGTGGCGCTTGGCGGCGACGGAGGAGGGGGACTGGGATTGGTCTGTGAGAGAGGAGCGGGTGACTGCAGCGAAGCTCCTGGTTGGGTGTGTGAAGTTGCCATGGCGGGAAGGTGAAGGCAATTTGTGGCCGCCATTTGTACTTGCCTGATATCTTTCTGGTGTTCGATTTTTTGCGGATATAAAAATGAATATCCAATTAAGTCTTAATACATTTATTTAATTTATTTAAACGATTAATTTATATTTAAAATATAGGATGTATGTGAATGGACAAATTTATCCCTGCAAATATCACGTGCAATGCACATGTTTCAGTATTCCGGTCAAAATTGCCGGGAAAATTAGTTTAGGGAGCACCGTGCAACGAATTAATGAGTTCAGGTAAAAACGTGCAAATTTTTTTTGTTTGGGGGGTAAAGTGCAAAACGGCCCCTAGTTTAGGGGGCAAACTGCTTTTTACTCTTATAATATACTGGCTCCACGACCGGCTACATGGCTTGATTTAAGTGTTTCATATGTATTATTATAATATAATGTATACATTTTAGGTTTATTTAGTACATCTGTATACTACGTACGTTAATAAAATATATAGTCTAAATTAATTGAAATTTTTCGTGCTTAAGTGAAAGTTTGAGAGTGTTGTAAGTATGTCGACATTCTTGAAAACTAAATCTAATTTATTGACTTAATTAAACCTAAATTATGTTGTCATCATTTGCTTTCTTTGACTTTTAATTTGTGAAAAAGATCTATAAATGAGTACCAACAAATTAAACCTTTTTTTGCAATTCAAACTTTATATCATAAATTTTGGTACTATTTGTATAGTATTGTATTGATCAATGGAAATGTCATCTCCTTATAAGAATTTGTTCGTGTGGGCCGCGGTGGTTCTTCTCCCGGCGGCGGTGCTGGGGGAGTGCACTTGCGAGCCGGAGGAGGAAGGCGATGAGAGCAAGAGCCTGGCGCTCAAGTACAAGGTGGGGGCGATCGCCGCCATTCTGGTGGCGAGCGCCGTCGGGGTGATGCTGCCGGTGGTCGGGAGGAGGGTTCCGGCGCTGAGTCCGGAGAGGAATTTCTTCTTCGTGATAAAGGCCTTCGCCGCCGGGGTGATTCTGTCGACGGGGTTCATACACGTGCTGCCGGATGCATTCGAGAGTTTGACTTCGCCGTGTATTCCGGCGAGCCCGTGGGGGGATTTTCCGTTCACCGGGTTTATCGCCATGCTCTCCGCCATTGGGACGCTGATGGTTGACACGTACGCAACCTCGTACTACCGGCGTCGGTCGGGGGTGAAGGCGGTGGAGGGCGGCGGCGATGAAGAGGGAGGGGCGGCGGTTGTTCCGGTTCATGCACATGCACACGGGTCGGTTTCTTTGGAACCGGATTCTGGTGAGACTGATCTCCTTCGCCACCGTGTCATTTCTCAGGTAATTCTTTTATGTATTATTATTATTATTATTATTATTATTATTATTATTATTATTAATTTTTAATCTTTTATTTTTAAAAGAGGGTCAATATTATAGTTTTTTTAGTGATAAATTGAAGGTTCACATTGTATTAGGCAATTTGTTAAAGTAGTTATTTAATTAATTAATTATTATTTTGTGAATATAAATAGAGAGTTACGAGTTTGTTAATTAAAAAAAAATTAAGAAAGCAAATAAAAGAAGGGTGAACGGCAAAAATGCCCATCACGTGAGACTTAAATACATTTTGGTCAAAAAAAACAGTCTCTCAATTAAACTCATTCTCATGTCTTTGGTCTAAAATACCCGCTATAATATAATTCTTATCAATTCCATCCATTATGCTCGAACTTCCTTAATATTATACATTGACCTCGGATTTAAACAAATATATTACATTAAACCCCCAATTTTTTTTTTCAGAAACTAAATTTTTTTTTCCGGCCAGATTCCGGCGTTGACTTTTTTTTTTTTGAATTTTTTTTTCCTGAATTTTTTTTTTCCGACGGTCAACCACCATAGACCGCCGGTCTCCGGCGTTGACTTTTTTTTTTAATTTTTTTTTCTTAGAAAAAAATATTTTAATTAATATTACTGTCTTGGCTACTAAATTACTGTCTCAGACAGTAATATTACTGTTTCAGACGATAATATATTATGAATATTATTTTCCCGAATAGTAATATTATTAATATTATTGTCTAAGACAGTTAAATTACTGTTGGAGAGAGCAATTTAGCAGCAAGACAATAATATTTTTAATTAAAATAATTTTTTGAAGGAAAAAAAAAGAAGTCAATTAACAGTTAAATTACTGTCTCCGACAGTTAAATAACTGCTGGAGACAGTAATTTAGCAACGAATATAGTAATATTAATTAAAAATATTTTTGTAAGAATTAAAAAGTCAATTAACAGTTAAATTACTGTCTCCGACAGTTAAATAACTGTTGGAGACAGTAATTTAACAACAAATACAGTAATATTAATTAAAATATTTAAAAAATAAGTCAATAAACAGTTAAATTACTGTCTCCGACAGTTAAATAACTGCTGGAGACAGTAATTTAGCAGCAAAAACAGTAATATTAATTAAAATATTTTTGAAGAAATAAAAAAGTCAATTAATAGTTAAATTACTGTCTCCGACAGTTAAATAACTGCCGGAGACAATAATTTAGCAGCCAAGACAGTAATATTAATTTTAATATTTTTTGTAAGAAAAAATAAAATTATTAAAAAAAAAAAAGTCAACGTCGGAGACCGGCGCTCAACGGCGGCGACCGGCGGTCTCCGATGGTGGCGGGTCAAAATTGAAATTAGGGTTAAAATTGGTTAATTGATGAAATTAGACTAAATTGTGGTGTAAATCATGAAATTGGAGTTGAATTGAGTTTCAATGAATTAGAGGTAATTTTAGTATATATAAAAAGATTTTCCTTATTTGCAAATAAGTTTGAATGAGCTGGATTTATTTGAAAGACAAAAAAGTTTAATGTCACTCTTTTAATTAATTGCCTTGTCATGGGTCTTTTTATAATTAACATAAAAGAAGGGATGCTGACTTCGAATATAATATCCTTTTAGGGCAACTTTCTAACTTTTTAGGGTAACTTTATTAACTAGACAACGTTGTTAAAAGTATATATGTTCAAAAAGTATATGAATCTTGAATTTTAATAAAAAAAATCAATTTTGTTTGTGATATATTATTTAAATTTTTTATTAATTATATCTTCTTTATCTAATTATTAAATTTTATTTTATTTTTTAAATGTTTATTCAGGTTTTGGAATTGGGAATCATAGTACATTCTGTAATAATTGGAATTGCATTAGGAGCTTCACAAAGTCCAAAAACAATAAGACCACTAATTGCAGCTTTGTCTTTTCATCAATTCTTTGAAGGCATTGGTCTTGGTGGCTGCATTACTCAGGTTTTTTTTATTTAATTTATTTTATTAATACTAATTAATTTATCTATTAATTAGCACTAATTACATTTTTACCCTTGTTACAGGCAAGGTTTAAAGCAAGGGCAGTAACAATAATGGCATTATTCTTCTCCATAACAACCCCAGTTGGAATCGCAATCGGAATCGGAATAACTAACATCTACAGCGAAACGAGCTCAACGGCTCTGATTGTACAAGGAGTTTTCAACGCAGCATCGGCCGGAATATTGGTCTACATGGCGCTCGTCGATCTTCTTGCTGCCGATTTTATGAGCCCGAAACTGCAAAGTAATGGAAAACTTCAACTAGGGGCAAATCTGTCACTTCTAATTGGTACTGGTTGCATGTCTTTCATAGCCAAGTGGGCTTGACCTCCTATTTATATAAAGTCTCTTTCACATTATATTTTGAAAATTAAACCAAATTTATTTGATTTTTTCTTGTGAAATATTATTATGAATAACAAATTTGTTAAAGCCTCAGATCTCTGTGGTCTTGATTGCTGCTTGTTTTGGTGTGCTAATTAATTGCACATATATTTTATATATATGTGCTAATTAAGATTTGAGAGTGGAGTGAAATGCTATGTTTTTTCTTTTTTCAGAGGATTCGAGAGACATTTTTCTTTTTGTTCTCGGCTTCGACTTTTTCGATTTTTTCTACGGCGATTTATTTTGTTCAAGAATGTTATGATCTAATATGATCAGTTGTGATGTTTAATTTATACTATTTTAATTTCCTTCTGATTCTCTGCATAGCAAGATCAATTAAGTCATCTTTCTTTCTTTGTAATCAAGAATGGAAATTAATTGCAAATTAAACAACAATTAATATTTCTTGTTGAGTTGCTCGAACAATAGGAAACTACATCATCTCATGTTGTATTCATAATATATATAATTGATGTGTCTAATTTGGTTTTTGGTGGATAAAAATCCAAATTAACCTAATTAATAATAAATGCCTAATTATCACTTATTACTAATTAATTATAACTTATTGGCCAACGTTGGTTTTTCTACTAAAAGTTTACATATATATTTCCTCCATCACCTATAAATAAGTGATTTTATTGAGGCAATGAGGTACGTACTATTTTGGCAAATTAATTAAACTACTTGAAGTAACGAGAGGGCGACAACTCTCCACCTCGTCAATAAACCTTTGGTATCCCAAATCGACCTCGACGGAGAAGAAGGAGGGCGGAAATTAAGTGACCATGCATGCATGCCCTATAATTGTCTTTTCACGTTATTTCAGAAACCAGTTTTTTTTTTTTTTTTTTTACTTTCCTTTTGATATATATATTAATTTAATAAAAATTTACTGAGTTAAATTTGTTGCAACCTCAGAATTTAATGTTGTGGTCTTGATTATTGTTTGTTTTGTTTAGTGTGTGACTTGTGCAAATATTATATACTATATACTATAATGTAAGTAATTGCAAATAACAATTAATTATATTTCTTGTTAAAATGATCAGCAAATAGGAAATTATAATAATGATTTTTTTTCGACAAAGAGATAACTCGAAAACAAGCAATCCTGACCGTTGCTACAAGCTCTTAAAATCCGACCATCGGATTACAAACATAGATATATGCAAAAGGCCTTGCTCAAATTTCGATCGACTTAGCTGCTAAAAATGCGAAAGAAATCCATTCAGTGCTTAACGTTTTGGTTCAGGGGACGCATAGTGCTCGACTCAGAGAAATGTACAACCGTTGCTCGAAGAATTATAATAATGCTATTCGTCACTTAGAAGCTGCGAAGAATAACCTAAAATCGGGTGGCGTACAGGTGGCGGATGCATCGAAAGATAATAAACAATGCAAGGAAGTGTTCCGTGTGGATCATTCACACATTAAAAAGAAAAACGAGGATTTCAATTTCGTTCTTAGTGTGGTTAAGGTTATTCTAAATAACTTGAACAAGAAGTAATAAGAATGTGTAGTACATGTTTGTATAGCTAGAAGCCTAGAAAGTCGTGATCCGTTTTCGATCATGTAATTGAATAAGTCGAGCTAGATAGCTACTTTTATGTTAAAATAATCGAATGAATTGCAAAAATCCGCTCTCGTGATATTTCGAATTTGCTATATATGAAAATTCCTATGTTATGCATAATCCGATCCGTCATTGCTCTTCATATCTAATTGAAAAAAGAACAAATACACGAACACGAACACAAACGCTGTTCATATCAAATTGAGTTTCGTCCAAAAAAAATTCACACCAAGCATTTAGAGCATTATATCGAGCTTATATCAGAACCGATATTCCACGTTTCACAATCTCGTTATCAGCATCAAAGTAAACCATAATTTGCACACACAAAAAAACAAAAAAAAAAAAAAGAAGCAAAAGTACTATTACAAGAAATACGATCTTTTAATTCTGTCAAATGTGGGAGTTTCCCCAAATACGTATAGCACGGTCGTCACTTGCAGAAGCCAGCATATGAGGATTAGCTGGATTCCAGCTCACGCAGTTCACCACTGCAGAATGTCCTTCCAACGTACAGATCAGCTCCCCCGACCACCTATTCCATATGTATACCTGTATATATAGATAAAACCGTATATAAGAACCGGTCGGTCACTCATTCGACCGTATATAAAAAAAATACGAGGCTTAGCTTTGATGACTAGTAATAAGATCAAAGCATATGTGTTTTAAGTACACATGTTCATCTAATCAAGAAACATGAATAAATAGTACAAAAATAGCATACTACCTTGGAGTCCTCGCTTCCACTGGCAATAAAGCCTTGACCGATTCCACCGAAACAAGCCTTCACAACTAAACGTCTTCGTCTATGGCCCTTGTACTTCATCACCATCACTGGAAAAGCAGAATCTTCTATGTTCCACAGATGAATTTCTTCGTTCAACATGCTAACAAGCAGAAAATTACCATCTTCTGACAAAGTAAACGACACTATAGCTCCATCTTCCTTTATGAATTTCGCGCACTCCCACCTCCAGTCAAAGAACAGTATCCTATTTCCTTTGAAAGGTGCTATAATCTCGGACCCGTCACGTGTCATCGCCAGGTCAGCGATCCTAGTGGGCTTCATCGGTCGCCATTGTCGCCCCATTGTTCCTTGTAGATTCCACCTGACAATAATGCCGTCAGTAAAACTAACGAATATACTCTCCCCATTTCGGCCCCACGCACACGAGATTGTACCACAATCTTTTCCGTATGTGAAGAGACAGACTCCTGTGGGAGAAATGTTCCACCGCTTCACGGTCTCCTCTACACCACAGGTCAGAAGTTGATTATTGTCGGGGCTCCATGCAATATTGGATACTGGTTTGGTGTGACCCATTAATGTAGTCAGATACGAAAATCTGCCAGACTCCAGAACCTACAAAAACGAAAAAAATGATCACAGGGTAATAATGTATTGCTTGATCAAATGAAATACATATATAAAGATTCACACAACATAGCGCAATGATCTTAAATAACACTTGAGAGATAATTAGTTTGAAACAAGAAAGCAGCATTACCTTCCATATAATCACAAAACAATCTCTGGTTGATGCGGCCAAGTATTTCCCATTGTGAGAAAATTGCAATAACCATACTTCACCCCACAAACCCTCTATTTTCTACAGCATTTACAAAAAAATAAAATAAACGAGAGGTCAATTGGTTGCAGACGATGACATAATACATCAGAATTAGTAAAGAATTTCTTTTATCAACAAGTTCTAAATAAGTAAATCACCTCTAAACCAATAGAAGGAATATCCTCTCTTCCACACAGATGATTAGTGAACAGTGATACTTCCCCAACCGACAAGTTGTGAAACCTACAAGAATTCTTTTGAAAGTCGAGAGCCTGTTCAAAAAGCTCGATCAATCTTTTTTCTTGAATCATCAGCGTTGGGGGAATCAAAATTTTCAAATCCTCTAATACTTCATCACGAGACACGAGTTCAACTTTGTCCCTCCCATATAATAGTTCCAATTTTTTTCGCTTCAATATAACCGAGGACATCTTCTTAACACTTGAACTAAGATCACGCAAAATTTCTAGAACTTCATCCCATTTACCATCCTTTACACGATCTATACAAGAATTTATTCGTTCGGAATGCAACTGTATTCCCAAGACTTCCTCTAGCAACTTCCCTGTCTCTTTATAGCCAAGTGAATATAACACAGCGGTTATAACTTGAACAAGTTCATCTTTCTTAAAAACATATTTCGAGCCAACAAATCTGTTACCCCCTTGAGATGATGTACTGGGCAAATCCATCGAGTAACTGAATGAGCAGTTCACAATACCTGCCACGGAAAGTAGGTACCGCTTCGATTAAAACGCTGAATCATTCTTGAACAATATTTGACGAATAACATACAATTCTGTACAGAATAATGAAGAAAAAGGTACGAATTGATTTATTAGGGCAATAATTCTTCCCCAAATCTGAAATACCCAAAATCACAAACATTTTAGAACTCGTTATTATTAATTATCTACGTACTTCCCATTCTATTCAATTACGCTTCAAAAAAACCCAAACAAAAATCCTAAAATGAATGGATCGAAGAAAGCCAGAAACCCTAGTCTCGGATAAACACAGTAATCAATTTACCCCAAATTTTAAATACTAAATCTCACAAACATCTTGGAACTCATAATTTCCAATAAATTCCATAAACATGCTACTAAATTAGGGTAAGAAAAATAAAGCAACGAATTCCGTAAAAGAAGATTCGAAATGAGTAAAAATAAACATGAACAAATTTCGAACCTGCGTTTTTTCAGAACTTGTACAGCTGATTGAAGAAATTTCGCAGTGATTGAAGAACAGCGATTGAAGAAACAGAGATTTGCGGTTGTTGAAAGAAATGGGTTTCTGAAATGGGTTGGTGATGCTCTGTTTTTTAAGTTTGAAGCGGAATCAGTTATTTTCCCTCCCAAGAAAAAAATAGGAAGGGGTTATTGCATTTGGTACCCTTGTACTTTGTTATTATTGTTAAAAAAACCCAATATTATTTTTATTACAAAAAAAAATCCTCATTGATTCAATTTTATTAGCAAACTAACCCTAAATAGTAAATACTCATCTTTTAGGGGTTGTGTGCTGAATAAAATATCTTCTGAGGGAGTTTTTTGCTATTATTTAGACGATAAGTTTTTATACTCATCTTTTGGATTTTTATTTATTTATTTATTCTTATTCTTATTATTATTTGGAACTTATGCTCATTTTTATAGTTTATGTAAATATATCTATAATTAAAAATTTAATTCAATTTTGAGTAATCAAAATGAGTAAAAAAACTCGCCAAAAACAACAAAGAACCAAAGCAAGAAAAAAAAAAAAAAGACATATATCAAAATGAAAATGAGTAAAATCTCGAATTTGCCACTGCTTACTAACAAGTTTAAACCAAGAAAATTGTTTACAGTTTAAACCATGCACCTATCTATGAATGAAACAACAACCGCCAATGCTATGAAGAGAACAACAAAGTAGATAGATGTGTTCTTTTTTTACATGTTTGATTGATTATATACTAAGTAAAAGCGATTCCTCGTTTTTTCTTTTTCTTTTTCTTTTTTACATGTTTGATTAATTCGGTCGAAACTCTTCATCACCATTTGTGTTTCCCCAAATACGTATGGTATTGTCATCACTTCCAGAAGCCAACATATACGGATCAACCGGATGGCAGCTCACACAGTTCACTCTTTTCGTATGACCAGCCAACGTGCCTATCAGCCCTTCCGTTTCCCTATCCCATATGTACACCTACACACCCTCACACACACAGTATGTATATATCTGTTTTATCACTTCATTAACACAAATTTCAAAAAATTGAATAACAATAATAATACCCACCTGGGAGTCTACACTTCCACAGACAATTAACATTTGTCTGGGCCCACCAAAACAAGCCCTCACTGAATAAGAAGGAGGCCTATGGGCTTTGTACACCTTCACCAGCTTCGGAGGAACTTCAATGCTCCAGAGATGTAGTTCTTGATTCAATAGGCTCAGTAGCAAATACTTACTGTCTTCCGATAAACAAAACGAGATTATAGTACGTCCCATTTCCGTTATGAATCTCGAGGTACCCCGCTTCCAATTAAACAACAGTATCCTATCTTGATTACAGGTAGTTATTACCTCTCTCCCGTCACCAGTGATCGCCATGTCAGCCTCCAACGTGGTTTTATCCCCTTTCCAGCATCCTATCTCTCGGCCTTCAAGACTCCACATGACAATACTGTCGTCGTTACCACCAGTGAATATACTCTGCCCATCTGGGGCCCACTCACACGAGACCATACCGACACCCGTTTTTTTATACGTGTGGAGACAACCGCAAGAAGGAATACTCCAACGTCTAACAGCCTCATGTGAACCGCAGGTCAGAAGTTGTGTATTATCAGGGCTCCATGTAATATTGGTGACGGGTGCTTGGCGATCGAATAAATCACCCTTCCACTTTAATGAGTCAATCGCTTCAACCTACAAAATGGAATAAAATGACGATTCAAAACAATATAAGGATTCCGCATGCATCTTTCGCTGAAATTCGTACACTAGGTGACATAACATAGCGGTTTAAAACAGTATGTATATTTCATTTCAGCCAACAGCGCAGAAATAGTTTATCCACTTCATCGTGTTCACGTATGACTAATTTCTCCTTTTGTTTTCCTTTCTTCGTGTTTTTTTCCCTCTCGATTAGCTTACTTCAATTTATAAAACAAAGAGGGGAAAACAAAGTAAGTGTCGTGCATGGTAAAATACAATAGACTTTGGAAATGTCACGCACGATAAAACAGATTCCACATGGATCTTTCGCTGAAATTCCTACACTAGTTTTGGTGATAAAGTCGTAGTCATGTACTCATATCTGCATTATATCACATTCTATGGATTAATCACATGCTAACCAGAATTGAATTAGTATTGCTAACATTGACTGATATTGAAAAAAAAAAAGAAAGAAGAAAAACAGTTTGTCTGAATCGGGCATCAAATCTTTGCCGGTGTGCTATTTTTTCCCGTGTCTCTCTTAATTTACTGTCTTTTCTATGCTGAAATATCTTACTACATATACAGTCACCAACATCAAATGGTTTAAGAATCATCACTGCACAGTAATTTTTACTCAATATTAAACAAAAATTAAAGAAAAAATCGAAAGAAGCAGCACCATTACCTTCCATATATTCACATAAGGATCGGTCGGTGATACTGCGGCCAAGTATTCCCCATCGTGAGAAAATTTCAACAACTTGATTTGAGACCATAGTCCATATAATTTCTACAGCATTTACAAAAGTAAAAGAGGGATAAACAACACTATAAGAAAAAAAAACAGAAATAACTGCGAATCATTTCGAAACCGTATTACTTTCACTGCTATAAAGAAATCAATTCGAAACCATATTACTTATCCTACACACACAGACACACCGACACACACACACACACACACACACACACATATATATATATATATAAACAGATTCAGACAGAACATTGAGTGTACTTCCACACTTTTGCATAAACAAGGATCATTTCATCTTTTACTTCGTTTTCTATGATTTCGTTTTCTGTAGCGGAAGAAGGTAATCATCACGTAAACAAGGTTAATATAGGTTTTCTTGTGACTATACGTTCATGTGTTCTGCTTGAGGAAAGTATATCACGATTCTAAAGGAATATATCCTTTTAAATGAATATTCTAGCATTACACCAAAAAAAAAAAAAATTACCTTGAGAATTATCGAAGGAACCTCATTTCTTCCACACTGATGATTAGTGATCAATGACACTTCCCTAACGAAGGAGTTGTGATACTTACAAGCACCCTTTTGAAATTCGATAGCCTGTTCGACAAGATCAACCAATCTTTTATCTGGAACCATCACTTCTGGGGGAAACAACTTTCGTAATTCCTTTAATACTTCCGTACGAGATCTGGGGTTCGGTTCTTGACCAAGTAAATTCTGCGGTGGAAATATAATCAAACTAGAGGCCTCACGCACGATCTCATCACTGTTAGAAAGTGGAGAGATTTCTTTCTGGAGAGTCTTCAAAGCCCTTTCGAGTTCGCCTTCGGATATCAGTTCAGAAAACTTGTACTTCAATATAAGCAAAGATATCTTGTCAACAGATTTACCGATATCACGCACTGTAGCAAGACTTTCATTCCATTTACCAGCAATAATTTGCTCAATCAACAAATGCACTCGTTCGGCATGCAAATGTATTCCCGATTCTCTCTCTAGAGACTTCCCCACCGTATCATAGCCGAGCGAATACAACACCTCGGTTATAACTCGAACCAGTTCAACTTTCTTGATAACACGTTTTGAACCAACAAACTCGTCACCCCCTTGAGATGATGCAGAGGGCAAATCCATTGAGTAACTGAATCAAGTAAAATTCACAACACGTTATGAAAAATACGCTTCGATTAAAGTGTAATAAGATACAATTCTGTACAGAAAAACCACTCCGTCCCCAAATCTGAAATACCCAAAATCACGAAACGTTTTCGAACTCACAATTTCTACAAGACATGCTACTCAATTAGGGTTACAAAAAAAATAAAAATCAGAATCATATATCAATTAAAATACAATAAACAATAAATCAATTTCCGATTATGTACAGAAAAAAAAAATGAATGAGTTGATATATTAGCGCAACACATGAATAAGAAGAGCAGAGAATAAAATGAGATAACAAGTTATAAATCCCCAAATCTGAAACCACAGTTTCGAATCATCTACGTACATGCTACTCAATCACGATTTAAATAAAAACACAGAATCACAAATCGATTAAAACACACAATAAAGAAGAAATCGATTTCGAACCTTCAACGGGCTGATTGCTCGAGAAATTTCCAAAACTTCGGGCCTGAAGGAGAGCAGAGATTCGCGATTGTTGAGAGAAATGAATGGGTGTTTGCTGAAGTTGATGAAATGAATGGGGGTTTGCTATTTATTTATATTTATATTATAATTATAATAATTGTTGTTTTTAAGTTTGAAACAGTATTCAGTTATTTTCCCTCCTAAACAAACAGCTCTCTCTTTCTCTCTCTCTCTAGAAATAAAAAATAAAAAAATCGATTACGGAAACAGTATTTCACTATGAATACGAAATTCAGAATTACTAAGTTTGAGAACATATTAGATTTTGATTTTTATTATTACGTATATTATATTATGCTAAAAAATTGGAAATTCAGAATTCTGTTGATTTGGATAAAAAAAAAAACCGATTTTGAAACAAGCTATATTATTCTAATTTTTGAAATTCCCATTTCCGATTTTCTTGAATTTGTTTGTAACGGAATTACTTGACTAGTAGTAACTTGTAAGTAGTAACACACGCGTATACGTACACGTTTACGTATACTTTTAACGCCAAATACGTACAGTATGATCGTCACTTCCAGAAGCCACCAGTAGAGGATGAGCTGGATTCCAGGTCACAGAGTTCACCGTGTCAGAATGACCATGAACCGTACCGAGCAGCTCCCCGGAACACCTATGCCAGACGTATACCTATATATATAAAACCGGTCGATCGATCACTCATTCCGTATAATAAAAATACGAATTTTTTGAAAAGAATAATTTAATTTAGGGTTAATTGCAAATACCACCCCTGTGAAACCTCTAATTGTCAAATACCCCCCTATCAAAAAAAAATTCACACATACCCCCTTGTGTAATATGTTTTGAAGCACACTGCACCAATTGTCATTTTAATCTTTGACCAAGCATAAAAAGACGAGAATGCCCCGGGGCTTTATTGCAATTAGTAAATCATATTAGTGTTTTAACATTTTTTTTAATAGTTTTTCAATTCTAAATAAAAAATTCAAAATATAATAATAATAATAATAATAATAATAATAATAATAATAATAATAATAATAATAATAATAATAATAATAATAAAACAAACTAATAATAAAAAAATAAAAAAAAATATTAAAAAATGAGAAAACAATTTCGTTCATCTTGTTCCCCAGCAACATCCCACCCCCACGCACTACCCCACCCTTCTGCGCCGCCGCCGCCGCCGCCGCCGCCACCACCACCACCGTATCTTCATCTTGAGCATTCCACCCCCACGCACTACCCCACCCTCCTGCGCCGCCGCCACCACCACCACCACCACCACCGTATCTTCATCTTGAGCATTCCACCCCCACGCACTACCCCACCCTCCTGCACCACCACCAGGCTCACCACCACCACCATTTCTTCATATCCACCTCACAAACCCCAAGCAAAAAATTTTAACATTTACATTTAATCCACTCATTTTATGGCTTGATAAAAAAATAAAATTGGACCTAAAATTAGGTTATATTAACATTTTTTTCTCTCGATTTCTTCCTCTAAATCTACCAAATATGGAGGTCGCCGCCATGCCGCGGCGGTGGGTTTTGAGACCGGTGCGGCGGCAACGGTCAACCTTGGAGTTCTAGAGTCTAGAAAGCACTTAAGCTTTTTTTACATCTTTGACGGGTGGAGAAGATGAAGAAGGAAGAAGAGGAAAGAAAAAAGAAGGGGAAAAGAAAAGAGAAAAAAAGAAAAAAAAAGGCTTGGGGGTATTTCTGACATTTCATACGCAAAATGGGAGAAAAAATCGCACTAGCAGCGCGTGAGGGACACGGTTTGTTCCGAGGGGTCTCGATGCCTTGACTTTTGTTACACAAGGGGGTATGGGTGAATTATTTTTTGACAGGGGGGTATTTGACAATTAGAGATTTCACAGGGGTGGTATTTGCAATTAACTCATTTAATTTACCCAGGAGTCCTCGCTTCCACTGGCAATATACCGTCCGAAAAAGCAAGCCCTCACAACGTATTTAGTACATTATGCCCCTTGTAAACCGTCACAATCTCGGGATCTTCAAACCCTATGTTCCATAGATGAATTTCTTCGTTCGATAAGCTAACGAGCAAAAAGTTACCATCTCCTGACAACGTAAAAGAAACTATATCTCCGTCTTCGTAGATGAATCTCTTCGACTCGGTTCCCCATTTGAATAAAAGTATCGTATTGCGTTCACAAGCAGTTACAACAACCTCCCTCCCCCCGTCGTCAAGAGTGACCGCCAGGTCAGCAATAATCCTCGTAATTCCCAATATGCCATCCCAAGATCGAAGCTCCTCTCCTTGTAGACTCCACATGACAATACTGCCGTCATTGAGGCCAGCGAATATAGTCTCCCCATGTGGGCCCCACGCGCACGAGACTGTGCCAAGATTCTCTTTTCCCTCGTACGTGTGGAGACACGAGGAGATCAAGTGATGATCATCTCCTCCTGTGGGAGGAATGTTCCACCGCTTCACGGTCTCCCCTACACCACAGCTCAGTAATTCAACGTCGTCGTGTCTCCATGTAATATACGAGACCGGTTTGGTGTGGCCCACTAATTTTGTCGTCATAGGCCCAAACCACAGATCCTCGAAAATCTACCAAAAACTTTGAAGTCAATCTTAAATGACATTTCACCAATTAGCTTGTAAGAAAAAAAAAAAACCGCGACGCGACGCATTAATTACCGGCCACACGATCACATCAGCACCACCGGTGCCGGCCAAGTATTTCCCGGAGTGAGAAAATTGCACGAACCAAACTTCACCCGCTCCGTCACCCTTTAATAACTATAATAAAGGAACGATCAATACATAAACATCGATCAATATATACGTATTAAAAAAAAGGGAAAAAAAATGTCACCTGTTTAATTCGATAAGGAGCCCCTTTTCCATGTTGAGGATAACCGAAGTATTTTTTTCTCGGGGGAAACAAATTTCGCAAATCTTCTAATACTCTCTTACGAGAGCTGATCGTAAGTCCTGATTGATCTTGACCACAGAAGTTGTGCTGCGATGGAGATGGAGACACGATCAAAGCAGGGAGCAGCTTACGAGTTATTTTATTACCGTTATCGAGTGAAGCGATCTCGTGCTTGAGCATCAGATAAGCATCAACAGCTTTGTCGTCTCGAGATAAATGTTCGTGAAATTTGTTCTTCAATATAACAAAGGTTATTTTGTCAACATACTTATCAATGTCACGCAGTGTGGATCGACTTTCGTCCCATTTACCATCGATTATTTGCTCCATGAACAAATCTACTCGTTCTTTATGCAACTCGATTCCGGGCCCTTTGTCGAGTGAATATAACAACTTGGTTATATCTCGAACGAGTTTAGTTTTCTTAACAACCCTCTTTGAAAAAAAAACTGATGCATCACCACCACCCTCTTGATATGATGATGCAGAGGGCAAACCCATGGAGGATTAACTGAATCTTGATCAAAGAAAAAAAAAAGGAATCTTTATGGAACAAAAATACACAAATTGATTTATTAGGTCAAATAATTAATTAATTAATTAATACGAATCAAGAAATACCCAAAATCGAAAACATTTTTTGAAACCCTAGTTTTTAATCATACAACAGAGTTGTCCATATGTAACAAACCTGCCAATTCTTTTGGCTATTTTTCTGTGGTTAATTAATTAAGAGCGGGTAAAACGAATTCAGTGTAACGGTATTCAACAAAGTTTGAGAACATATTAGATTTTGATTTTTTATTATTACGTATATTATATTATGGTTGACTACAAAATTGGAAATTCAGAATTCTGTTGATTTCGATAAAAAAAAAAAAAAATCCGATTTTGGAACAAGCTATTTTATTCTAATTTTTGAAATTCCCATTTCCGATTTTCTTGAATTTGTTTGTAACGGAATTACTGTTTCACTTCCGTAGAAAAATTGGGTTTTCCAAAAGTGTTAATTTCGATCAGATCCGTCCGATTTACATTCCTTTACAACTAAAAACACTTTGAGCTGGAAAAAAAAAAAAAAGTACGATCAAGAAAATCCTTTACACAACTGCCAATCCTTTACATCTCTTCCTTTATGAGATTTTCTAGTATTGATTCATTCAATCCTGTCAGGTGAAGGGAAAATTGTAAGAGATTTCATCAAATAAATAATAATAATAATTGTGTTGAAAGAAGAGATTACATTACAACTCACATGTAATTAAGTTCTCTTGTCACAACAGTCTGATACGTGTGGGCATTAACAGCCCATCTAATTACCGTACGATCGTCGCTTCCAGAAGCCAGCATACGAGGATGAGCTCGATTCCAGCTCACACAGTTCACAGTGTCCGAATGACCAACAAACACACCAACCAGCCTTCCCGATGCCTTACACCATACGTGTACCTATACATATAAAACCGGCCGTATATTAAAAAAAATTACAGAAACTTTTAATGAATTAATAATATACATACGTTGGAGTCCTCGCTTCCACTAGCAATAAACAGTCCACAAAAACAAGCCCTCACAACGTATCTTTTACGTGTATGCCCCTCGAAAGTCCTCACCAACCGGGGAGGTACAGGTCTTATGTCCCACAGATTAATTCTTTCATCGGCCAAGCTAACAAGCAGATAACAACCATCTTCCGACATTGAAAACGAAACTATATCGCCATCTTCGTAGATGAATCTCTCCCACCCGGTTTCCCATCTGAAGAAAAGTATCGTATTGTAATCACGGGTAGTTATGAGCTCCCTCCCGTTACGAGTGATCGCCAGGTCAGCAATCATCGTGGTTCTCCTGCCGTCCCAAAATCCAACCTCTTCTCCTTCTAGATTCCACCTGACAATATTGCCGTTATTGAGACCAGCGAATATACTCTTCCCATTTCGGGCCCACGCACACGAGACTGTGCCAAGATTCTCTTTTCGGTACGTGTGGAGACAGGAGACGTCTCCCGTGGGAGAAATTTTCCACCGCTTCACGGTCTCCTCTACACCACAGGTCAGAAGTTGAAGATCATTGGGGTCTCTCCATGTAATATACGAGACAGGTTGGATGTGGCCCACTAATGGAGTCAGACGCACAATCCCGCGAGACGGCCGAATCTACACACACACAAAAAAAAAAAATTGATTGATCCCCATTCCCCAGCATTTAAGGAGGAAAGTAAATTTAAGTAAAGCTACACGCACAAACAAACAAAAAAAACGGAAGACGGTTAAGTAAAGCTTCATATAAACAGAGCATAATGATTGATTTCAAACAATATGAGTTGAAAAACGGTACACAGTTGGTGGTTTTTCTTGAGCTGATTCTTTTACCACAGTACGGCCAATAGATAATCTTTCATTACCTCAGACATATTCACATCATTACCACTCGTGGCAGCCAAGTATCTCCCACAGGGAGAAAATTGCACGCACCACACTTCACCCAGCCCGTGATTCTTTAATGTCTATATATAATACCAAAAAAAAAAACCCCCCAAAGAGAGATCAATACATAAGTGATGGAATATAGGTTTTGTTGTGACACTCTTCATGGCATAATAAATCACTAATATATCAATATGTAAAATCACCTGTATAGTTATGTACGGAACCTCGTCTTTTCCATGTTGATAACTAGGCTTCAATGATTTTTTTGGGAGAAGCAGTTTTCCTAAATCCTTTAATACTCTCTTACGAGACCTGATTCCCGATTCTTGACCGCATAAATTCTCGGATGGAGATATAATCAGAGAAGAGAGCTCACGAGTTATTTCATCACTGTTATCAAGTGGAGCGATCTCGAGCCCGATAGTCTTACAAGATTCCATGACTTTGTCTTCAGATAAAAGTTCGTAAAATTTTCGCTCCAATATAAGCAAGGATATCTTGTCAGCATGTTTACAAACATCAAGCAGTGTAGATTGACTTTCATCACATTTACCGTCAATTATTTGCTCGATAAACAAATCTACTAGTTCTTTATGCAACTCTATTACGGGCCCTTTCTCGAGACTCTTGCCTTTCCTATCGTAGCCGAGTGAATATAACAGACTCTTCATACCTTGAACGAGTTTAGTTTTCTTAAGAACCGTGTTCGAACGAACAACTTCATTGCCACCCCCTTGAGATGATGTAGAGGGCAAATCCATGGATTAACTGACTCTTGTACAATCCACCTGCCGCGAAAAAGTACGCCTCGATACAGTTTCGTACAGAGTAATGAACAAAAATGCACAAATTGATTTATTAGGGCAGATCCACGAAAACAATTCTTCCCCAAATCTGAAATACCCAAAATCGCAAACATTTTTGGAACACATGCTACTCAATTAAGCTTCGATAGAATCAAATTCAGAAATCAAAATCGCAAATCAAACTAAAACACAATAAACTATAAACCAAACGACGCCGTAAAGAAGATTAAGAGAATCAATTTCCGACCTGCGTAATTAGAACTTCAACCGGCTGATAATTCCAGAATTTTCCAAAATCTTCAGAGAACAGCGATTGTGTGCGCGATTCTTGGAACGAATCGATAGCGAATGTGAAGAAAAATAAAATGAAATTGCGATTCGAAAAGTTGAATTTTATAAAGCTGTTTTTGAGTTTGAAGCTGAAACTGTATTTTCCCTCCGAAGGAAAAATATGAGCGTCTACTGTACAACATTTATTTATATTAAAAAAGAAAGGCTAAATTGTTATTTTCCCTCCTAAAGAAACAGTTTTCTCTCTCTCTCTCTCTCTCTCTCTCTCTCTCTCTCTCTCTCTCTCTCTCTCTCTCTCTCTCTCTCTCTCTCTCTCTCTCTCTCTCTCTCTCTCTCTCTCTTACAAATAAAAACGAAATATTTTCTGAGTTCCATCGATTACGATAAAAATATTTCCGATTATGCAAATAGTTTTTCACTCTGAATATGAAATTCCGATTTTTTTTATAACTAAATTGTAGAATATATTAGATTTTATTTTTTGATTATGAAATTTGGAAATTCAGAATTCTGTTGATTTCTATTAAAAAAAAAATCGATTTTCGTACAAGTTTTTTCATTCCCATTTTTGAAATTCCGATTATATATTTTCTTGAGTTTGTTTGGACCGGAATTAGTTTTTCAATTCCGAAAAAAAAAAATATATAAAGCGAAATTTTCGAATTCCATCGATTCGATCCAAATATTTCCGATTATGGAAATAGTTTTTCACTTTGAATACAAAATTCCGAATTTTTTTATAACTAAATTGGAGAACATATTATAGTTTTTTTTATTTTTGATTATTACGTATATTATATTATTATTATTATTATTATTTTTTTTTTGAGCAAATTCAAGTTCATTACAAGAGGAAGGAGAGAAGGGCCGAGGGGGGGACTCGAACCTTAGACATACCAACTCTTCTAATAAGCGTTGGTTACGTATATTACATTATGAGTGACTGAAATTTTGGAAATTAAGAATTATGCTGATTTCGATAAAAAAATCGGATTTTGGAACAAGCTTTTTTGCTTTCCAATTTTTGAAATTCCAGTTTCCGATTTTCTTGAATTTGTTTGGAATGGAATTAGTGTTTCACTTCCGTATAAAAATTGGGGTTTTTCCAAATGTGTTAACTTCGATCAGATCCTTCCGATTTACATCCCTAGACTAGAGACACACTTTGAGAAATAAAAAAAAAAAAAAATTGTAGAGACAGTGTGTGTAAATTGGAAAGAAATACTGTCAATTTCCAATGTGTAGAATTCAATTTACAAAAGAAAAAAGAAAAAAAAATAGCAAAAGTGTAAACAAACTATACAACTAATCAAGAAAATCCACATATGAAACAACATATGATTGATTGTATACTTTCTTGTCTTTACTCATCTCTTCCTTTTTCCAGACACAACTTCATGTGATTTAAATCTGCAATTGATTCATCATTTCAATCAATTGCCTCACTTGCAGCACCCTGTCAGGTAAAGGGAAAATTTCAAAGAGATTTCATCAAATATATAATAAAATTGTGTTGAAATAAATTGAGATTACAACTCACAGGTAATCACGTTCTCTTATCAAAACAGTAGAGTACGTGGTCTCAAGAACATCCCAGCCTTTTACGATACGATCGTCACTTCCAGAAACCAGCATAAGATGACGAGCTCGATTCCAGCTCACACAGTTCACAGTGTCCGAATGACCAACAAACACACCAACCAGCCTTCCCGTTCCCCTATGCCACACGTATACCTATACATATAAAACCCGTACATATAAAAACCGGTCACTCATTCTGTGTATTAAAAAAAAAATTACAGAAACTTTTAATGAATTAATAATATACATATACCTTGGAGTCCTCGCTTCCACTAGCAATAAACAGTCCACAAAAACAAGCCCTCACAACGTATCTTTTACGTTTATGCCCCTCGAAAGTCTTCAACAACCCGGGATTTTCAGGTCGTATGTCCCACAGATCAATTGTTTCATTGGCCAAGCTAACAAGCAGATAAAAACCATCTTCCGACACTGAAAACGAAACTATATCGGCATCTTCGTTGATGAATCTCTCGGCGCCGGTCTCCCATCCGAAGAAACGTATCGTACGGTAATTACAGGTAGTTATGAGCTCCCCACTGCCACGAGCGATCGCCAGGTCAGCAATCCTTGTGGTTCTACTGCCTTCCCAAATTCGAAGCTCTTCTCCTTGTAGATTCCACATGACAATACTGCCGTTATTAAGACCAGCGAATATACTCTCCCCATCTGGGGCCCACGCACACGAGACTGTGCCAAGATTCTCTCTTCGGTACGTGTGGAGACAGATTCCTGTGCGAGAAGTGTTCCACCGCCTCACGTTCTCCTCTACACCACAGGTCAGAAGTTGAAGAGCATTGCTTCTCCATGTAATATACGAGACTGGTTGTATGTGACCCACTAATGTACTCCAAGGCACAATCGAGCCGGACTCCCGAAACTACACACACACACACACACACACACACACACACACACACAAAAAAAAGAAAAAAAAAAAAGAAAAAAGAAAACAAAAAGGAAAACGGTTAAGTAAAGTTTCATATTTCAGTACAACAATAGACAAAATCACTGATTCTACTTCATCTGAAATAACGTTTACCGGATAAGTTTAAAAAAGAAGCCGCATTACCTCCCACATATTCACACGATTACCACTGGTGGCAGCCAAATATTGCCCACAGTCAGAAAATTGCATGGACCACACTTCACCCTGCCCGGAACTCTTTAATGTCTATAATACCAAAAAAAACCCCAAAAGAGAGATCAATACATTAGTGACGGGATAATATCTTTCTACCGAAAAAGACAGAATATACACATAACGAAGGCATACACGAGTTGAACTTTTAAAGGCATTACACATAAGAAATCACTACTATAGTAGATTCTCGGATATGTATCGATATTAAGAACTTACAAAATATATTAGTTGACAGTCATGTATGTAAAATCACCTGTGTATTATAAGGAACCTCGTCTTTTCCACGTTGATGATTAAACTTCAATGATTTTGTAGTGAGAAGCAGATTTTCCAAATCCTCTAATACTCTACTACGAAACCAGAGTCCCGATTCTTGACCGCATAAATTCTGGGATGGAGATAAAATCAAAGCAGAGAGCTTACGAGTTATTTCATCACTGTTCTCAAGTGGAGCGATCTCGTACCTAAGAGTCTTACTAGCTTCTATGACTTTGTCTCCAGATAACAGTTCGTAAAATTTGTGCTCCAATATAAGCAAGGATATCTTGTCAACATATTTTTTACCAATATCACGAAGTGTAGATAGACTTTCATCCCATTTACCATCGAGTATTTGCTCGATAAACAAATCTACTCGTTCTTTATGCAACTCTATTCCGGGCCCTTTCTCTAGACTCTTCCCTTCCCTATCACAGCCGAACGAATATAACAGCCTCTTTATACCTCGAACGAGTTTATTTTTCTTAAGAACCATGTTCGAATGAACAACTTCATTGCCACCCCCTTGAGATGATGTAGAGGGCAAATCCATGGAGTAACAATCACCTGCCACGAAGTAACAATCTCTCTTGAAAAGGAATCTTTGAGGAATTAAGATACATGTCCGTACATAATAATGAACAGAAATGCACAAATTGATTTATTAGGGCAAATCCACGAAAACAATTCTTCCCCAAATCTGAAATACCCAAAATCGCAAACATTTTTGGAACCCATGCTACTCAATTAAGCTTCTATAGATCAAATTCAGAAATCAAAATCGCAAACAAACTAAAACACAATAAATTATAAACCAAACGACGCCGTAAAGAAAGAAGATTAAGAGAATCAATTTCCGACCTGCGTAATTAGAACTTCAACCGGCTGATAATTCCAGAATTTTCCAAAATCTTCAGAGAACTGCGATTGTGCGTGCGATTCTTGAAGCAAATCGATAGCGAATTTGAAGAAATTAATGGAGAAAAAAGAAAATGAAATTGCGATTCAAAAAGTTGAATTTTGATAAAGCTGTTTTTCAGTTTGAAGCTGAAACTGTTTTTTCCCTCCAAAGGAAAAATATGAGCGTCTACTGAGTACTCACTACTGTACTACGTTTATTTATATTAAAAAAGAAAGGCCAAATTGTATTTTGGACCCTAAACTATGACCGTCTTTGCATATTCCACCCTTAAGAAATCACAAATGACATCTTGACCCAACAATTAATATTAATTAGGCAAGTTGCATCCCAAGGTTAAAAAAAACACCTATATTTCACCAACTTCTAAGGTTAATATAGTCCTTTTCCATTTTTTTTATCCCAACACATGGATTTGAGAGGGTAAATGTCATAGTTTTTGTTTTTCCATGTTTGACTAAATCTATGCCAAAATGGTTATTTAATGACTATGGTAAACTACAGCCAGCCTGAGGTAATGTCAAATTACGATAACTTTCCTCATATTTGGGTAATATTACAACCATCTTCTTTAACTATGAATCTTTTTTATGGTGTCAAACACTTGTCCCGTTCCACCAAAGTAAGACCTGATCACAACGAGAAAGTTGACGTTTATGCCCTTTGAACTTCATCGTCATTATGGGTTTTTTGAGCCCTATATTCCATAAATGAAGCTCTTCGTTCGACACACTAACGAGAAAAAAATCACCATTGTCCGATAAACAAAACGAAACCACATCTCTATCTTCCTCCTCGATCAATCTCTCCGAACTGTACCTACTCCTTTGAGGGCGACAACTCTCCACCTCGACGGAGAAGGAGGAGGGCGGAAATAAAGTGAGTAGATTAATAGACAGCATGCATGCTCTATAATTGTCTTTTCACATTATTTCAGAAACTATTTTTTTTTTCTTTTGATATATTAATTTAATAAAACTCTACTGAGTTAAATTTGTTGCAACGTCAGAATTTAATGTTGTGGTCTTGATTATTGTTTGTTTAGTGTAACGATGCCATAAACGACGTCGTGTGGGGTTATACAGCGCTATTTCTTTGAGTCTGTTAGTTGGCTAGGTCAAATTGGTTGCAGCCAATCCGAGGAGGACACGTGGTTGTCTCATTCCATCGATTCTGATCCAAATATTTCCGATTATGCAAATAGTTTTTCAATCTGAATCTGAAATTCGAAAGTTTCTTCGAACTAAAAAAAGAATATATTAGATTCCAATTTCCGATTATTGCACAATTTACATTGTACGTGACTAGAATTTGGAAATTCCGAATTTCGCCTATTTTCGATCCGAAATTTCCAATTTTGGAATTAAGTGTTTTTCTGTTCCAATTTCCGATTTTCTTGAATTTGTTTGGAACGGAGTTAGTTTTTCAATTCCCAAAAAAAAATAGAAAAACCGATATTCAACCCTTAATCGGTATGAACTCGGTTCTAGGTCCACGGCTCGTTGACCCCGGCTAATTTCGACTCAGTGTCATGGTCAAGAATTTTACAAACTTCATAGAACCAAATTAGTTTCACCCATTCAAAAGTCATCACATTCCTCTAACATTAATTGAAAAAAAAAAACTGTACATATGAAACAACTGCAAAAGAGTGTAGTTTTCTTGTCTTATTGATCCATCTCTTCATTCCTCCTTTGATTGAATTGCACCAGACTCCTGTATATCAGGTCAAGGGAAAGTTTCAAAGCGATTTCACTGGTAAAAACATAATAAATTGCGTCGAAAGAACAGATTATTACTCACCAGAAATCAAATTCTCTTGCCAAAGCACTCAGATAATCGTAGGGATCAAAATCCCATGCTTGTACGATATGATCGTCACCTCCAGAAGCCAGCATAAGTGGACGAGCTGGATTCCAGCTCACACAGTTCACAGTGCCCGAATGACCAACAAACTGACTAATCTGCCTTCCCGTTACCGTACACCATATGTGTACCTATACATATACATACATATAACCGGTCACTCGGTTCTGTGAATAAAAATTACGGAAACTTTTAATGAATTGATAATATACATACCATGGAGTCCTCGCTTCCACTGGCAATAAACTGTCCACAAAAACAAGCCCTCACAACGTATCTATTACATCTATACCCCTCGTAAGTCATCACCCACCACGGATTTTCACCTCGTATGTCCCACAGATTAATTCTTTCATCGGCCAAGCAAACAAGCAAATAACGACCATCTTCCGACATTGAAAACGAAACTATATCGGCATCTTCGTAGATGAATCTCTCGGCCTCGTCTTCCCATCGGAAGAAAAGTATCGTATCGTACTCACAGGTAGTTATGAGCTCACTCCCGTCAAGAGTGATTGCCAGGTCAGCAATCATCGTGGTCCTAGTGCCGTCCCATAATCCAACCTCTTCTCCTTCTAGATTCCACTTGATAATACTGCCGTTATTAAGACCTGCGAATATACTCTCCCCATTTCGGTCCCACACGCACGAGACTGTACCAAGATTCTCTTTTCGATACGTGTGGAGACAGAAGACGTCTCCTGTGGGAGAAATTTTCCACCGCTTCACGTTCTCCTCTACACCACAGGTCAGAAGTTGAAAATCATTGGATATTCTCCATGTAATATACGACACAGGTTGGACGTGGCCCACTAATGGATTCAGACGCGTAATCTCGCCAGACTCCCGAAACTACAACACACACACACGCAAAAACAAACAACAAAAGGGAAGACGGTTAAGTAAAGCTTCGTATAACAGAGCATAATGATTTCAAACAATATGAGTTGAAAAACGGTACGCAGTCGAAAGTTAAATATGAAATATATGAAATATGATGTGAACACTAAACACAGTAAATTTGAAGACGAGTACATATTAATTGTAAATAACATTTAACAGATAAGTTTGAAAAAAGAAGCCGCATTACCTCCCAGATGTTCACATCATTGCCACTGGTAGCAGCCAAGTATCTCCCACAGTGAGAAAATTGCGTGAACCACACTTCACCCGGCCCGTGACTCATTAATGTCTATAATACCCAAAAAAAAACCAAAAGAGAGATCAATACATAAGTGACGGGATAATATCTTTCTACCGAAAAAGATCACTAAGTAAAATCACCTGTACAGTTTTATACGGAACCTTGCCTTTTACAAGTGGATGATTAGGCTTCAATGATTTTTTTGGGAGAAACAGATTTCCTAAATTCTTTAATACTCTCTTTCGAGACCTGGTTCCCGATTCTTGACCGCATAAATTCTCGGATGGAGATATAATCAGAGTAGAGTGCTCACGAGTTATTTCATCACTGTTATCAAGTGGAGCGATCTCGAGCCCGAGAGTCTTACAAGCTTCTATGACTTTGTCATCAGATAAAAGTTCGTAAAATTTTCGCTCCAATATAAGCAAGGATTTCTTGTCAGCATCTTTACAAATATCAAGCAGTGTAGATTGACTTTCATCACATTTACCATCAATTATTTGTTCGATAAACAAATCTACTAGTTCTTTATGCAACTCTATTCCGGGACCTTTCTCGAGACTCTTCCCTTTCCTATCATAGCCGAATGAATATAACAGACTCTTTATACCTCGAACGAGTTTAGTTCTCTTAATAACCGTGTTCGAACGAACAACTTCATTGCCACCCCCTTGAGATGATGTAGAGGGCAAATCCATGGAGCAACTGACCCTTGTACAATCACCTGCCATGAAATACACCTCAATTTAAGTGCTGAATCTTTGAGTTACAAGATACAGTTCCATACAGAATAATGAACAAAAATGCACAAATTGATTTATTAGGGCAGATCCACGAAAACAATTCTTCCCCAAATCTGAAATACCCAAAATCGCAAACATTTTTGGAACACATGCTACTCAATTAAGCTTCGATAGAATCAAATTCAGAAATCAAAATCGCAAACAAACTAAAACACAGTAATTTATAAATCAAACGACGCCGTAAAGAAGATTAAGAGAATGAATTTCCGACCTGCGTAATTAGAACTTCAACCGGCTGATAATTCCAGAATTTTCCAAAATCTTCAGAGAACAACAATAAATTGTGTGTGCGATTCTTGAAACAAATCGACAGCGAATGTGAAGAAATTAATGGAGAAAAAGAAAATGAAATTGGGATTCGAAAAGTTGAATTTTATGAAGCTGTTTTTGAGTTTGAAGCTGAAACTGTTTTTTCCCTCCAAAGGAAAAATATGAGTGTGTACTGAGTACTGACTACTCACTACTGTACTACATTTATATCAAAAAAGAAAGGCTAAATTATATTTTGGACCCTAAACTATGATCGTATTTGCATAGTCCACCCTTAACAATAAAACATAACATCTTAACCCACAAATTAATGTTAATTAGGCAGGTTGCATCTCAAGGATAATAACTACCTATTTCCCACCATTTTCTAAGGTTAATTTAGTCTTTTCACATTTTTAGCTCAGTACATGGATTTGAGAGGGTAAATGACATATATATTTTTTTCTCTCTCTTTTATAGAAATCAATCAATTTATTTGTTAATACAATTTAATTATCATATATTTAAATTTTCTATATTTATGCATTTTTGTGCATCGCATGGGGAGAATTGCTAGTAATAATAATGAACATCGAATAATCTTGGGAGCGATTGATAGTGTAATTAACCTAACAACAATCGTAAATAAATATTATGCCAGAAAATAAAATAAAAATAAATATAAATCACGGAAGTTTTTATTATATTCAAGAAGATAAAGAAAATAACACCTTGAAATAATATTCTCACAAGAAGCCACTTATTTCATTACATATGATTAATTTCATATATAACTTAATACCTCTTTACAAAATTATCCAACATAATCCTTACAATACTAAGAACAAAACCAAATGCAGCCTCATTCGTCTTCTTGATTCGTGCGGATGCTCCACTAAACGCCTTCTTACACCTCTCGATTTCTTCCGATATGTTCTTCACTCGAGCAACACCCGATTTAAGGTTATTTTTAGAAAGTCGAAGGTCACGAATGATATTGTTATAATTCTTCGAGCACACATTGTACACATTTTTCGATCGGGAATCATTTGTTGCCTTAGCCTCGGATTCGAGCTCCCAATGGATTTTATTGGCCACTTTAGAAGCTAAATCAATCGAAACTTGAACAAGCCCCTTTTCGTCTATGTTTGTCGTTCGGTGGTCCGATTTTAGGAGTTTGTAGCAGTTATCGGGATTGCTCGTTTTCGAGCATAACTTTTTGATTTCTAGATCTGTGATTTTATGACCAATGGATGGTAATGGTGAGATTGATATGAATATGATGATGGGTAAAAGAATAGAAACAAATGATGTAATAAGAAAGTTAGGCATATCTATTATTTGCTTTTGTTTATTTTGTTTTGGCTCATTATATAAGCAATCAAAGCATTTAACTAAAAAGACTTTAATCAAAGACAAGATTATTATAGATTTTGGGCTCAAATTTTAGACAAGTTTAATTAATGGGAGTAATTAATAGGCAAAGAAAATTAATATCTTGAATGCATTTTTGCTCCCCTAAAAATTAAAATACCAATTTAATTCATAATTTCTAAAGTTAAAGGAGTTTCATGAGTGATATCATGGGCATTTTATATTTCATTTATTTGTATTATTTAACTAAAATAAAATAAATGCTATCCGGAGAAAAAAAAATACTTAATTACTATTTAATACTTATTATTAGTTAAAAGTCTCTCTCAACCCAATCTTTCATGAAGCTAAAGATTAGTTAGGTTTCAATTTAAGTCTCTTAAATTCACTTCCCCCAATTTTTTTTTAAGTCAACTAATTAATATAAGCTAACCGTTAGTTATAACTTACAACTTATAAACTTATAACTTATAACTTATAACTTATAATTACATTCATGAAATTTCTCATCAATTGTGCTCATAAAAATGTCTATGGAGCAAAAGGCAAGCCTGATTTTCATTCCTTTCCCTGTAATGAGCCACCTCGTGGCGGCGGTGAAGGCGGCAAAGCTCCTCTCCGATCGAGACCGACGCCTCTCCATCACGGTCCTCGTCATAAAGATGCCGTTCGACACGAAGATCAGTTCCTACATCAACATGTACAACAGTACTAACTCAGTACACTCTCGTATAAACTTCGTCCACATGCCGGAAAACGAGTCCGTCTCCGCCGAGTTGCTGAAATCTCCAGCGACTTTCATGATCCCGTTCATCGAGAGCCAAAAGGGCTTCGTCCGAAACGCCGTTTCGGATATTTTAACGGAGGAGAAGAAGAAGAATTCGAGATGTGCTGGCTTTTTTATAATTGACATGGTTTGCATTTCGATGATGGATTTGGCCACTGAGTTTGAGGTACCGAGTTACCTTCTTTACATTTCGGCCGGTGCAGCAATCCTAGGGTTAATGTTCCATCTCCAAGAACTCAACGACCATCGCAACCAGGACCTGTCGGAGTACGAGGATTCATCGGTTACGATATCCGCTCCGACATACGCCGCCCCTTTTCCGGCAAAACTCTTGCCGGAGTTAGTATTAGGGCACACGAGTGGATTCCTCGGCCTCATGAGGAAGTCGAGACAAGCGAAAGGTTTCATAGTCAACACATTTCTCGAACTCGAGCCCCACGCAATTTTGTCGTTTTCCGGTGAAAAAGACGAGAAAATCCCGCCCGTTTATCCCGTGGGCCCGTTGATTACAATGCAAGATCGAGAAATCGACGGCGATCATAAGAAATACGACGAGATCATCGGGTGGCTCGACGAGCAGCCCGACTCGTCTGTCGTTTTTCTCTGCTTCGGTAGTAGCGGTTATTTCGAGGTGTGTGATCAACTGAAGGAGATTGCATTGGCGTTAGAGAGGAGCGGGCGAGCTTTCTTGTGGGCCCTACGAAAGCCTCCCGTAAAGGAATTATTGGGGTGTCCCGGGGAGTACGAGGATCCCCGGGAGGTACTGCCCGAAGGGTTCCTGGAACGGACGGTCGGGATCGGGCGGGTGATCGCATGGGCCCCACAAATGGCGATTTTGTCACATCGTGCGGTGGGGGGGTTTGTTTCGCACTGCGGTTGGAATTCGGTTCTGGAGAGTGTTTCTCGTGGGGTCCCGATTGCGGCGTGGCCCCTGGCCGTCGAGCAGGCGAATGCGTTCCAGTTGGTGGAGGAGATTGGCGTGGGTGTTGATGTTAAGATGGACTATAGGAAGATAAACGGTGTGATTGTGTCGGCTGATGTCATCGAGGGGGCGATCGGACGGTTGATGGACCCGGAGAACGAGGCTAGGGTTAGGGTTGAAGTGTTGAAGGAGAAGAGTAGAATTGCTTTGATGGAAGGAGGGTCTTCTTACAACTTCTTGGGTGATTTGATTGCAGATATCATGGATAATTAACTTGTATCCATATCTATATTAAATTCAAAATGATGATTGATGATGATGTTTTCTTTGTTGCACTGATTAAACTTACACTCTCGTATAATAGCTTGAAAACCATAAGAAAAAACGATTTCTTTTACGCATTTCGTAATCATATGAAGCCCCTTTGCGAGCCTCATAAACACTTACAGATGGGCTTGAACTCGTCAGAAAGATCGAACTCAAAATTTATCGAGTCGGCTCAGTTCATGAGCGCCATGTTGCAATTCCACCTCAAGAACTTTAAGAGATATCCATTATGATAATTTTCTTCTTTTTTTACCCCCTTCATTTCTATGTCTTATTGTACTTATTATTTCTAGTTGAGTTTATGAACAATGCATAATTATTATATAACAATATAATGTTCTTATGCCTAATAAACCAATTCCCAATAATCTAATAAACCAATTCCCAAAAAAAGAATATCATAAAAAAAAAACTTGATTTAAATATTAACTCAAAACTACTATCATATAAAATTGGCTTCATGCATATCTCCTATATATTAAAGAACAAATTAAAGACATTCTTCTATATTCTTCTATCCCCTCCAAAAAATTGCAAGAAACAACAAATTAAATTGCAATAAAGAACAAATTAAAGAAATGGCTATATTTCATAGTACTTCTTCCTCTATGTCATTGATTCTTCTATCCATCATCTTCATCTCAATTTCACCACTATCACTTGGCCTTAAAGTGACCGATGCACAAATAAAACATATATGCTCCAAAACGAGCAATCCCGACCGTTGCTTCAAACTCTTGAAATCCGACCATCGGATTATAAATGCAGATGCAAAAGGGCTTGCTCAAATCTCGATCAATTTAGCTTCTACCCATGTCAAGAAACTCCTTTCGGAGCTGAACTCCCTAGCTAAGGCGACACATGATTCTCGATCCAAAAATATATATAATTTTTGCTCGAAAAGTTATAACGATATTATTCGAGACCTCGAAGTAATTGCTAAGAGTAACGTGAAATCGGGTTTCGTTGATCGAGTGAAAAATGCATTTGAAGAGAATAAAAGCTGCGAGATTAAATTGTTCCATAGGGGATCAAGTGATCGTGCACATTTGAAGAACAAAATCGAGGACGTCAAATTTCTTCTTAGCATAGTCAAGGCTATGACGGACAATTTACATAAGAAGTGACCGTGTCCACGACTCACCTCGAGGCTCGAAAACTATGATGCGCATAAGCATGTAATAAAATAAATAAAAATTAAATAAAAGTCACTTTATTTGTGAAAATATTTCAATTTTGTTTATAAAAGCTAATTTCTTTATTTCACCAATTAAAAATACATAATTAAATAAAATTAACTAAATAGCATTTGCATTTGTAATAACATCTTCAATAAAAAGAGAGAGAGCTTTGTAAGAAGAACCACCTTCAAGCAAAGCCAACCTGCTCTTGTTCTGCATCTCCTTCACTTTCCCCCTCACCCCACCTCCACCCTCCTCCTCCTCCGCCGCCATCAGCCGCCGTATCGCCGCCTCCATCTCCGGCGCTCCAACAATCTCCGGCGGACTATCTCCCTTAAAATCAATCTTGTAGTCTATACTAATCTCCTCCGCCATCCCTAGTTCCTTCACAAGCTGAAACGCATTCAGCTGCTGCTCGGCGTACATCGGAAAAGTAGCTATCGGAACACCGAACGAAACGCTCTCCAAAATCGAGTTCCACCCGCAGTGCGAAACGAAACCCCCAACCGCCGGATGCGACAGCACCGCCACCTGCGGGGCCCACCCGATCACTCTTCCAATCCCCTTAGTCCTCTCCGTAAACCCTTCCGGCAGAATTTCCTCAAATGATTCGTACTCCGTCGGAAACTGAATTGACCCTTTTGCCCCTGTCTTCCTCAACGACCACAAGAAACGGGCCCCACTCTTCTCTAACGCCGTCGCTATTTCCCTAATCTGGGATTCCTCGAAGCTGCCGAATGTCCCGAAACACAAGAAAACCACCGATTTTTCCGGCTGCTCGTCCAGCCAGTTCTTGATTTCCTCGGCGCCGGCGCCGCCGTCTCCGGTCGATGTCAAAATGGGTCCCACCGGGTAAATTCTGGGGGTCTGACTTTTTCCGTCAGACTGAAGAGAGTCAACGGCGTAGGATTCGAGCTCGTAGAAAGTGTTGACCATAATACCCTTGGTATCTTTCAATCTTCTGAAGCGATTCAAGAAAACATCCGCCATCGGACCTTCTTCCACCAACGCCGCGGGCAAGACCTTCGCCGGAAGTGGAACCGACAAACACGGGAAAGACAGCTCCGTGTCGGAATCCTTGTACTGAGTCAGATCTTCACCCTGTTCGAACTTGAGCGATGCCAGGTGGCAGAAGAAGCCGAGACCGCACGCGCCGGAGGTGAAGAAGACGTACGACGGGATGCCGAATTCGTCGGCGATGTCGGCGAATTTGGTGCAGAACATGTCGAGACTGGCTGTCGATGAAATCGAATATGAATGTGTCGGAAGAAGGGGTAATGCTGGTATTAGTTGTTTCTTCTTCGCCGGGGAGGTAGATGAAGCGGAAGCGAAGAAACGACGTCGTTTCGGAGATTTTTTCTACGTAGTTTGCTACGGAGGTGTCGTTCGGAAGCTTCATGATGAGGACGGTGACGGAGAGGCGGCGGTGGTTGTCGAGGTCGAGGAGGAGCATGGCCGATTCCACGGTGGAGATGACGTGGCTCAGCCCCGGCGACGGGATGAATACCAATTCGGTTTCCTTCATTTTGATTGGTGGAATTTAATTTGACAATTTGGGCTTCGAGGGTTTGATTTTTAAAGGGGGGGAAATTAAATTCGAAAACGACGACGTATTGCATTTTGCAAGTCAATTGTGGACTACTTTTTTTTTTTTTTTTTTTTTTTTTTTTTGTATAATTAATTTTGGACTACTTTTCTAAGAAATTGCCAAAGATAATTATCTGTGGAAATTGGAAACCACTTCTAGAACTCTAACACGACTTTGGAACAACGTTGTTATTAAGAAATTTGAATGATTCAATTTTCAATTTTTTTAATTCACATTTTCTTTCGAAATATATACTTTGTCCGTTCCTAATTAATTGTCGGTTTTCAATTTTGCTTATAAATGTATCTTAATTTCAGAAAAAAAAATATTATTAAAAAGACTAAAATAATAGAAAGTCAGTACTTAGAATTGAATTGAAAAGATTAAAAATAGAAAAATGGGCATTAAAATAGTATTGAAAATTTAAAGTGACAGATAATATGTAACAATTTTTTTTTTAAAAAGAGACATCTATTATGGAATATAGAGTATTAAGTTCTGAATTTCGAAATATGTAATTAAGTTTCTAGACAATAATTCAAATTTGTTGGCTATTAGGGATGTGAACGAGTCGAGCTCGTCAGATATTTTGGGCTGAAGCTCGTATTGAATTTTGCGAGCTCGAGTTCATCGAACTTTCATTTTCTAGGCTTGAACTCGAGTGGAGTCTATCGTGATCGAGCTCAGTTCATTTTTGTTCCATTTTACATTATTTTTTATATTAACATTATTTTATTTTATCATTATACAATTATTTATATTACGATAAAAATTAAAAATAAATGATAAAATATATTTCAACATTTTATATATTTATTTAATATTATTTTATTATATCTATTATTCATATGAAAAAAAAAAAGAAAGAAAAAAAGATCACATGCTTATGAACAACTTAAAATGGGCTCGAGTTCAGGCGCGTGAGAAAACTCGAGTTCGTGAGCTCATATATGATGGGGCAAGTCTTCCAAAAGACTTGGATTAAATGTTGGCGCCAACAAATAAACATCAATTGATCACTTCAAATGGGCAATGTATATATTTTTCATGAGCTTTATAATGCACCTTGGAATCAATGTTGTGATTAAAGAACCTCACATTATTAGTTTATTTTATTATATATAATACCATGATTTAATATGAACCACAGTATAAATTATTAAATGTATTTATTAATCAAATTGACTAAATAGCATTTGAAATAACATCCTCAATAAAAAGAGACAAAGCTTTGTAAGAAGAACCACCTTCAAGCAAAGCCGCCCTGCTTTTACTCTGCATCTCCTTCACCTTCCCCCTAACCCCACCTCCACCACCCTCCTCCTCCGCCGTCATCAACCGCCGTATCGCCACCTCTATATCCGCCGCTGCAACAATCTCCGGCGGACTATCTCCCTTAAAATCAATCTTGTAGTTTATCCTAATCTCCTCTGCCATTCCGAGTTCCTTCACCAGCTGGAACGCGTTCAGCTGCTGCTCGGCGTACATCGGAAAAGTAGCTATCGGAACACCCAACGAAACGCTCTCCAAAATCGAGTTCCACCCGCAGTGCGAAACGAAACCCCCAACCGCCGGATGCGACAGCACCGCCACCTGCGGGGCCCACCCGATCACTCTTCCAATCCCCTTAGTCCTCTCTGTAAACCCCTCCGGCAGAACTTCCTCAAAACTTTCGTACTCCGTCGGAGACTGCCTCTTTGACCCTTTTGCCCCTGGCTTTCTCAACGACCACAAGAAACGTGCCCCGCTCTTCTCTAACGCCGCCGCTATTTCCCTAACCTGGGATTCCTCGAAGCTCCCCATGGTGCCGAAACACAAGAAAACCACCGAGTTTTCCGGATGCTCGTCCAGCCAACTGCTGATGTCATCATCGCCGTCATCAACACTGCTGTTGTTTGAGTTCAGAACTTCCTCAAAACTTTCGTACTCCGTCGGAGGCTGTCTCTTTGACCCTTTTGCCCCTGGCTTTCTCAACGACCACAAGAACCGGGCCCCACTCTTCTCTAACGCCGTCGCTATTTCCCTAACCTGGGATTCGTCGAAACTTCCCATTGTCCCGAAACACAAGAAAACCACCGACTTTTCCGGCTGTTCGTCCAGCCAATTGCTGACGTCATCATCAACACTATTGTATTTGTATAAGTTCCAAACGGGCCCGATTGGGTAAATTCTGGGGGTTTGACTTTTTCCGCCGGACTGGAGAGAGTCAACGGCGTAGGATTCGAGGTCGTGGAAAGTGTTGACCATTATACCCTTGGTATCTTTCAATCTTCTGAAGCGATCCAAGAAAACATCCGCCATCGGACCTTCTTTGACCAACGTAGCCGGAAAGACCTTCGCCGGAACGGGGACCGAGAAACACGGGACAGACAACTCCGTGTCGGAATCCTTGTACTGAGTCAGATCTTGTCCCTGATCGAATTTAAGCGACGCCAGGTGGCGGAAGAAGCCGAGACTACACGCGCCGGAGGTGAAGAAGACATACGCCGGGATGTTGAATTCGTCGGCGATGTCGGCGAATTTGGTGCAGAACATGTCGAGCACCAGACCGCCCAGTCGGGAAGTACTAGGTTGTTGTCGTTGACCGGCGATAATATCGGAGATGATTTTTCTGATGTGGGTTGAGTGGCTGTCGATGAAATCGAATATAAATGTCTCGGAAGAAGAGGTGGTGGTGGGGGTGGTTGTTTCTTCTTCGCCGGGGAGGTTGATAAAGCGAGGACGACGAAACGACGTCGTATTGGAGGAATCTGGTGGTGGTGATGAGATTTTGTCGGTGTAGTTGGCTACGGCGGTGTTGTTGGGTGACTTCATTATGAGGACGGTGATGGAGAGGCGGTGGTCCCGGTCGAGGAGGAGCTTGGCCATCTCCACGGTGGCGATGAGGTGGCTCAGCCCTGGTGACGGGATGAATACCAATTCGGTTTTCTCCATTGTTGATTGGTTGTACAAATGAGCTTCCAGGGTTTGATTTTTAAGGGGATACGATTTGGGGGTGAAAGGACGCCATTCACCATTTGACACGTGGATATTTTTTAATTAATTAAATATTTTATAAAGCTTTAGAAGAGTACAAATTAAATAACATTTCACGAAATATAGAAGAATATGTTTAATATAACATTATAAGGGTAGACGTGTAATAAAATTCATAGTTGAGAGGTAGTTGCAGTTATCCAAACATGAGGGGTACCTTTGTAATTTGATACCTCAGGGGTAGTTGTAATTTACCCTATTCCATTTTTTCATATCTTTGTGTCTCTTTTTTGCCCCTTATGTATTATTTGGGTCCCTTTTGCTACCGCCATTAAATCATATTGATTAAAAAGGAGTTGATATATAGTAAGTAGTAACATATTTAGTTAGACATAATTCAAACTAATTAAAGCGCCCGATGCAAGTTACCTACAGTCAAATACCACTATTCATTAAAATTAGTAGTTATCATATTTCTTGTGGTTAGTTATGAGTTTTGTAGAACCTACGTCCAGTGAAATATATGATAGAGTTTGGCATCATTGATTTACATATAATAATAAATAGACATGCATATATTTCCTTCGTGGATAGTTATTTTTGTAAATTTATGATTCAAAATTTCATGGTGTATTTCATCAGGTGTAGGATCTCAAAAGCCGTTAGTTGTGTAGGACGGTGCGTGGTGCGTAGGGCTGGCAATTGGATTATGTGAGCCGATCATTACATACCGTCGGGACACATTACTATAGGATCAAACTCACATGCCATCGATCATCATTAGTGTAGGCTCAAGTATGGCTGATATATTTTTTCGGGTTCCTGGTTTATATCCGGACCCCATTAAATATACAGGTAATAAGCAAAAAGAAAATTATAAAATACGTGATAGACAAGATTTACCTCCAATGAAGCCAATCCAAAAAAACCCTAAAATGATATTTGCAAGTTATTGGAAAAACTTAAAAACAAAATTGGAAGAAGTAAAGAAAAAAGATTAGAAACTGTTATTAATATTCTCTAATTTCAGTGATAAATTTCAGCAATTGGATTTCGGTGGGTATTTTGCATTTGATTCATATTTTACATATTGCCATCGCCACCACTTTATTTCTTTTATTTTACAAAATAAAATAATCTTATATGGTCGGAACTTGTATGTTGAGTCATAACATTAAAATAATAAATATATTATATATTTCATTATTAGCTTAATCGGTCGGCCTTATACGAATTGAGCCATAGTATGCTCAAACTCAGCTCTAAAATAAATCAGGTTTAGTAAAATGACTCAAACTCGACCCAACTCACTAAAAAATAAATTTGACTCAAATATAATTGGACAAAACCATCGGGCTTCGGTTAGACCCGACTCAATTGTCCGTCACAGTGGTGCATATATTTGTTATCCAATATATTTATATAACACATTCTGGAATATAATATAAATTATTTTTTTCTCAAAATACACAAATATATTGATTTCTTAACAAATTCTCCAAATACAAGAAAGTTCAAATCAAATTCTTCAACTTAATTCCATTTTGCACCTTGAAATATATATTGTTTTGTCATTTTTTCCTTCGAAACACAATAAATAATACACAATGCACCCCAATAAAATTTTAAAACTAATGAAAATAATTTAATATTTTAAATGATATTTTGTAGGACACCAAATGTCAAATCAAAAACTTTATATTTATCAAAAACTTTACAACTATAAAGTGCAAAAAAAAATAAAAAAAATATACATCTGATCACCAATATATTTATATAACAGTTTGAAATGAAAGATCTTGGTCACCTCAGTTACTTCTTGGGACTTGAGATTACTCACTCCAAAGATGGTCTTTACATTGCTCAGGCCAAATATGCATCTGACCTCTTATCTCAAGCCGCACTCACTGATAGCAAGATCATTGACACTCGAGTTGAACTAAATACTCACTTGACTCCCTCAGGGGGGGACATTGTTGTCAAATCTGTCACTTTATAGGCGTTGTTTCGTGGGCAGTCTAGTCTATCTTACTGTCACTCGTCCTGATATCTCATATGCGATTCATCAAGTGAGTCAATATCTATCATTTCCAAGATCGCTTCACTATGCTGCCGCTCTACGCATCCTTCGATATCTAAAGGGTACTCTTTTTCATTGTCTTTTATATTCTACTGAGTCGCCTCTAGTTCTTCGAGCATTCTCCGATAGTGATTGGGCTGGAGATCCCACTGATCGCATGTCAACTACTGGTTATTGTTTTCTTCTTGGCACATCTTTAATATCTTGGAGATGTAAGAAACAAACATTTGTTGCCCGATCCAGCACTGAAGCAGAATATCGTGCTCTTGCGGATACCACATCTGTGCTCCTTTGGCTTCGATGGCTTATCAAGGACTTAGGAGTATCAACATCTTCTCCCATTCCTCTTCATTGTGACAATCGAAGTGCTATCCATATTAGTCACAATGATGTCTTTCATGAACGAACTAAACACATTGAGATAGACTGTCATTTTATCCGTTCATACATTATTCAAGGTGTTCTCAAGCTCTTCTCGGTCTCTTCCAAAGATCAACTTGCAGATATCTTCACAAAGCCTCATCCTAAGGGACGTCATCATGATTTGGTCTACAATGTCAAGTTGGTTTGTCACCCTCCTTGAGTTTGAGGAGGGGGGGGGGGGGGGGGGGAGGGGGTTGTTAATGTATATTATTGTAGAATAATTAGGGATTTGATTTGATATACTTTACATAAGTTAGGAGATTTGATTTCATTGTAATTAGTTGTTTCCTTATATAGCTTTCTCTCTATGTCATAAATAGTGCCTCCTATGAAGAAGAATACATATCAAATTTTCCTCAATTATCTTACCAGATTGAAAGAGATAATGAGTTGAAATTGAAAAAGATAAACAATAAAAATCTTATTTTTCTTGTAATAAAAAAAATAGAAACAAATATTTTTCCGATATATTATGACCGCATATATCGGTTTGACCTGCCAAATACCGCCTTAGATCGTCTCAAAAAACCCAATTTTCAAAACCGCCACACAAATTTCGTAATGGTTTATACACGCCACTGATATGGCCGCCGATATATCAACCGACATTACCGATTAGAACACCGCTAACTATAGCATTTGTAATAACATCCTCAATAAAAAGAGAGAGAGCATTGAAAGAAGGACCAACTTCACGCAAAGCCAAGTTGCTCTTGTACATCATCTCCTTCACTTTCCCCCTCACCCCACCTCCACCCTCCTCCTCCGCCGTCATCAACCGCCGTATCGCCGCCTCTATCTCCGCCGCTCCAACAATCTCCGGCGGACTATCTCCCTTAAAATCAATCTTGTAGTCTATACTAATCTCCTCCGCCATCCCTAGTTCCTTCACCAGCTGGAATGCGTTCAGCTGCTGCTCGGCGTACATCGGAAAAGTAGCTATCGGAACACCCAACGAAACGCTCTCCAAAATCGAATTCCACCCGCAGTGCGAAACGAAACCCCCCACCGCCGGATGCGACAGCACCGCCACCTGCTCCGCCCACCCGATCACCTTTCCGATCCCCTTAGTCCTCTCTAGAAACCCCTCCGGCAGAACTTCGTCAAAAGATTCGTACTCCGTCGGAGGCTGTCTCTTTGACCCTTTTGCCCCTGGCTTTCTCAACGACCACAAGAACCGGGCCCCACTCTTCTCTAACGCCGTCGCTATTTCCCTAACCTGGGATTCGTCGAAACTTCCCATTGTCCCGAAACACAAGAAAACCACCGACTTTTCCGGCTGTTCGTCCAGCCAATTGCTGACGTCATCATCAACACTATTGTATTTGTATAAGTTCCAAACGGGCCCGATTGGGTAAATTCTGGGGGTTTGACTTTTTCCGCCGGACTGGAGAAAGTCAACGGCGTAGGATTCGAGCTCGTAGAAAGTGTTGACCACAATACCCTTGGTATCTTTCAATCTTCTGAAGCGATCCAAGAAAATATCCGCCATGGGGCCTTCTTTGACCAACGTAGCCGGAAAGACCTTGGCCGGAACCGGGACCGAGAAACACGGGACAGACAACTCCATGTCCGAATCCTTGTACTGAGTCAGATCTTGTCCCTGATCGAATTTAAGCGACGCCAGGTGGCGGAAGAAGCCGAGACTGCACGCGCCGGAGGTGAAGAAGACATACGCCGGGATGCCGAATTCGTCGGCGATGTCGACGAATTTGGTGCAGAACATGTCGAGAACCAGACCACCCAGTAGGGAAAAACTAGGTTGTTGTCGTTCGTCGGCGATAATATCGGAGATGATTTTTCTGATGTGGGTTGACTGGCTGTCGATGAAATCGAATATAAATGTGTCGGAAGAAGGGGTGGTGGTTGATTCTTCTTCGCCGGGAAGATTGATGAAGCGGGGATGACAAATCCACGTCGTATTGGAGATTTTTTCTACGTAGTTGGCGACGGCGGTGTTGTTGGGTGACTTCATGATGAGGACGGTGATGGAGAGGCGGGGGCGGGGGCGGTCCCGTTCGAGGAGGAGCGTGGCCATCTCCACGGTGGCGATGAGGTGGCTCAGCCCTGGTGACGGGATGAATACCAATTCGGTGATCTCCATTGTTGGTTGGTTGACCAAATGAGCTTCCAGGGTTTGACTTTTAAAGGGAAAGGGTGGGGGTTTGTTTGTGAAATGGACGCCATTCACCTTCTGACACGTGGATATTTTAGACTAAATATTTTAATGTAAATTAAATTACAGCTACCCGTCAAATCATGAAACTTCTTACACATCCACCATTATGGTGTCAAATTCAACAATGGATGTTCTCTAGTTTGTACTCGTTTTGTGTAATAATGTAGTTTCTGATGCACCACAATCTAATATTTACAAGATTAGAGACACATCTTATGATCATCTTGTTTCAAAATGTGGAGTTCGAATGGGGTACAAATTGAAAACTATTCCACATAATCTAGAAAATTACACTAAATTGACGCCACAAGAGTGGACGTGTATAAAGATTTATAGTGGAGAGGTGATTGTAATTAACCAATTTTAAGAGTTTTTTTTTTTTTTTAATTTACATCAGGAATGATTGTAATTTAGTTTTTTTATGTTGAGTGGGGTCCATTTTTATGTGTAACGGATGATCCCCATTCACAATGTATTCCCTTTATATTAGTTTTAGTGTCCCATTTGCTACGGCCATTAAATCATATTGATTATATAGGAGTTAATAGTAACATATTTAGTTGACATGATTCAAACTATTTAAAGCGTGATACAAGTTGTTGCCTACAATCAAATAGCACTATTCATTAAAATTAGTAGTTAGTTATCATATTCCTTGTTATCTGGTGTATGATCTCAAAAGTCGTTAATTGTGTAGGATGGTACGTGGTGCTTTGATTATCCTAATATGTTTATATAGCACATTCTAGAATATAATCTAAATTATTATTATGGTTTTTCTCAAAATATAAACATATTTTAATTTCTTAACATGTTCTAAAAAAAAAAAAAATCATATCAAATTCTTCAACTTAATCTCATTTTGCACCTTGAAATATATTTTTTTGCCACTTTTCACCTTCGGAATATAATATATAATACAATGCACCCCAATAAAAGTTTAAAACTAATGAAAATAATTTAATATTTTCAATGGTGTTTTTTATGGCGCCAAATATCAAATCGAAAGTTTTATAATTATCAATTCTTTTCAAACTATACATAGCAAAAATAAAAGTAAATATCATCAACATTTTTAAAAATTAACTTTTTATACTAAATATTTTTAGCAAATTACAATAAAAGATCCACCAATCGAATAATTTAGTTGTTTTGCAACCTGGGAATAAAAGACATAAAATAAAATAATACAGTTGAAAATATTCAATTCATGGTGCATCGTGAATGATTTGTTGTATTTTGATAGTACAAACTGCTATTAATTCTTATAAGGGTCGAAAGTGCCAAATTACAAATATCCAAGGATCTTCTTGCAAACATTCACTAAACAGCATCTTTGATAATATCCTCAATAAAAAGAGACAAAGCTTCGTAAGAAGAACCACCTTCAAGCAACGCCGCCCTGCTCTTACTCTGCATCTCCTTCACCTTCCTCCTAACCCCACCTCCACCCTCCTCCTCCTCCGCCGCCATCAACCGCCGTATCGCCGCCTCAATATCCGCGGCACCCACAATCTCCGGCGGACTGTCCCCCCTAAAATCAATCTTGTAGTTTATTCTAATCTCCTCCGCCATCCCCAATTCTTTCACCAGCTGGAACGCGTTCAGCTGCTGCTCGGCGTACATCGGAAAAGTGGCCACCGGAACCCCGTACCACACGCTCTCCAGCGTCGAGTTCCACCCGCAGTGCGAGACGAAACCCCCCACCGCCGGATGCGACAGCACCGCCACTTGCGGGGCCCACCCCGTCACTCTCCCGATACCCTCCGTCCTCTCCAGAAACCCCTCCGGCAGAACCTCCTCAAAAGATTCGTACTCCGTCGGAAACATTATCTTTGACCCTTTTACCCCTGGCTTCCTCAACGACCACAAGAAACGCTTCCCGCTCTTCTCCAACGCCGCCGCTATTTCCCTAACCTGGGATTCCTCGAAACTCCCCATTGTCCCGAAACACAAGAAAACCACCGAGTTCTCCGGCTGCTCGTCGAGCCACTTCTTGATTTCCTCCGATTTGATTCTTTTATCGTCGTCGCCGCCGCCGCCGCCGGAGTTGAGAATAGGTCCGATGGGGTAAATTTTCGGGGTTTGACTTTTGCCGCCGGACCGGAGAGAGTCAACGGCGTAGGATTCGAGCTCGTAAAAAGTATTCACCATGATCCCTTTCATATCCTTCAATCTACTGAAGTAGTTCATGAACACATCCGCCATCGGACCGCCTTCCACCATCACCGCCGGGAGAATCTTCGCCGGAACCGGAAGCGAGAAGCTCGGCACCGCCATCGCCGTGTCGGAACCCTTGTACCGCGTCAGGTCCTCACCGCGATCGAGCTTCAGCGATACGAGGTGGCTGAGTACGCCGAGGCTGCACGCGCCGGACGTGAAGAAAACGTACGCTGGGATCCCGAACTCGTCAGCGATCTCGACGAACTTCGTGCAGAACATGTCGAGCACGAGAGCGCCCATTCGGGAAGTACGAGGTTGTTTAACGAGATCCGAGACTATCTCTCGGATGTTCGTCGACTGCCTGTCGATTAAATCGAACGTGAACGTCTTCGAAGGCGTGCCGCCGGTTTTTGCGGCTTCTTCCTCGTCGCCGGGGAGGTTGACGAAGCGGAGATGCGACGACGACGAGGCGGCGGAGGAGAATTTCTCAATGTAGCTGGCCACGGTGGTGTCGTTGGGGAGCTTCGTGATGAGGACGGTGATCGAGAGGCGGTGGCGGTTGTCGCGGTCGAGGAGGAGCTTGGCCGTCTCCACGGTGGAGATGAGGTGGCTCAGCCCTGGTGATGGGATGAATACCAATTCGGTTTTCTCCATTTCTTGATTTCTTTCAAGTGTAGGGTGTTGGTTTGATGAAATAAAGTATTTTAGGGGTTGAATTTATAAAGAGGATAAGATAAGGTGAGGGGGGGAAGTTGCAAAATGAAGACTTGCAATCCTGCATCATGGGTCTATGTTTTGTCGTAATTTGGGACTATTTGTTTACGGCTAAGAATTTGCCAACGGTTGTCTTTAATTATTAGTGTTCCAAGCTTATTGCAAGTGTTGTTTCCATCCAATTGCTAAAAGCAAATTTTTCTTTTTGGAAAATAAAAATAAATAAATCAATTATGAGTAGGGTTCGCAATCGTGTGAGTCGAGTTTGGGCCGACTCAAATTAACATACTGTTGGGATTTGTATCGAGTTTCGGGTTTATATCGGGCTTCATTACTATATAACTGCGACGAGTAAAATTATATTTTATGAAAGTAAGTGATAAATAAGATTTACCCTATTAATGTCAATCCAAAGGAACCTTAAACGATCATTGTAAGTTAGTGGAAAACTTAGAAACAAGACTGAAATAAGTACAAAAAAAAAAAAATGCATATTTTATTATTTGAAACATTTTTAATTTTCAAAGTTTAATGATAAATTTCAGCAGTTGGATTTGGGTGAGTATGTTGCATTTGATTCTTATTTTTATATGTTTATAACTTGTATTTGGGCGTATTAGTAAAATAATGAATATATATTATATATTTTATTAACTTAATCGGTCGGATTTTATTCGGATTAAGCTATAATAAACTCAAACTCGGCTCATAAATAAATTGGATTTACTAAAATGACTCAAACTCGATCCGATCCATTAAAAAAAAGTTCAGTTCAAATATAATCGAACCGAGTCATCGGGCTTGGGTTAGGCCCGGCTCAACTGCCGGTCCTACTCAAGATGATTTTCTTTAACACGATCCTTTTAAAAAAATTATATGAAATATTTCACTAATGAAAATGAAATAATTTGGTATTTTAACATTAAAAGTATATAAGCTAAAGTTGTGGTATCCATGGCAAGATGGGTAGAGATGTCGTTTTAACGTATATGTTAATCAACGGTTCAGATTAAATCACAAAAGTATGTTGAGAAGTTGGATTTGAATTATATACGTTGAATGATGCAGTTGATCTTTCTACATTTTGACTCCCTTTTTCTTTCTAGGAATTTTCTAGGTAATCTTTATATATAAAAGAAAGGTTTTGCCCGAAACCCTAATCCCATTTTTGTGAAATCTTTGTAACCCTAAGGTTATTTTAGGTAAGTCATGCCTAAATGATTCATATTTATTTTTCTTTTTGTCCGTTTTATAGTTTTTATTTTTGTTTCCTTTATTTTCTCCACTTTTATAGCTTACGTTATTTTATTTGTTTTATCATTTTTTTTCTCTCTACCACTAACTTTTATCTCCTTTTATATAGCAACATTTTTTCATATTTGTATTATTTTCTCTGTAATTAATTGCCGTTTCTTAAGCACACGTATTTAGGTAAGTTATTTTTTTTTCCTTTATCCTCATTATTTTGGAATTTATTTTAGCCACTTTTCCTAATTTCTTGCACACGTTCTGTTAGTTTTTTTTTTTCATTCTTCTTTTTTCCTGTTCTTCCATTTATTTTTAATTGTTTATCTCAAGCATTGACATGTGAGGACGTACATAAAAAAAATTTGTTTTGTCACTGCTTCTTTATTTCTCATCCCATTCATGTTTTTTTTTTTTTTTTTTTTTTTGCAGATATTTGTGCATGCCTTACTTTTTTCAAATTTGCACGGATATTTCACTGTTAATTGTTTATGTTATTTTTTTTGATTAGATTCCGATCTTACATGATATTTATGTTTGTGTTTGTGTACTATGTGGATAATTATGATGTCTGATTATTTTTTTTTTTGTTGTTGTAACATAAGATGTTATCTTTATTGGGTTGCTTATTATCTACAGAAAATGAAGCATAAATTGCTTCAGATGTAAAATGGTAAAGTTTTACGAATTTCCGTTTTTCCTGATAATTTGTCTCTCTACATATTCGTTAATTTATGTGTTTCTGACAATTTGGTGGAATTTCGATGAAAAGAGTTTTCTTGATTTTATGTGCAGGAGGTCAACTTGAAACCATCAAGAAGGTCATGTCTATCATTTTTTTTGGATCAATTTCTTAATCTCCTACTTTGTATATATTCTAATTTTTCTTTTAATTTGAATTTAAATTACTGGGCGTTGTATTGAGTGTGATGAAGTTTTCTGTATGGTTAAATTAATTTTTGCTTAATATGAATTTTAAAATAACAGAAAAATATTACTTATGTTACAAATTTTTTGATGTTCTTTATTAAGATAAAATATTTGAGAAATGATTTTGCTCAATCTTAGATAAAATGTTTCTAATTGTTATTGGTGAATTTGATTGAGAGTGCAAGGTCTGCATGCAAAAAAAGTATTTGCAAGAAGCATGCCGAAGCAAAGCATCCAAGGCTCATCACTTAAATGCATATTTACTTTTTTTTCATCAATATTTAGTATGTTTAAATTTGTTAGTTCAATTTATTCGACAACTTCTCACTTTCTAATAACTCTCACGTTTTCACCCACCGTTGTGTCTTCTCCTTATTCTTCTTCTCCACTATCATCGACCGTGTCCTGCAATTTTTCATGGCTTATGATTTTATTTATTTATTTTTTATTCTTCGACCTTGCGCCGCAGTTATTAGGATTTTGTTCGCTGCCCAGTGAAATCTGAAATTTTGCTGCTGAAGAATTCAAAGTGCCTCCTCAAACCAATGCCATAATCATTAAACGGTATTCAAGAAGAAAAAAAATACTTTATTTTTCTTATTTTCTTAGTTCTGATTTATTTCCTTATGATATTTTTGTCAAAAAATTTCTTTAGCAGGATCTCTTATGTTCCTTTTATGTTTAACGTTAAATGATGAGCTCTCATCAATATGAATCTTTTATTGGAATTTGTTAAATCAGACTTTTTAATGATTGTTGTTCATGTAGATGGCGTGGGATTTAATCCCCAACAAAGGGCTCAAGTATTTTAGATTTTCTTTTTCCAATTTCAGTTTTGTTATTGTTTACTACTGTGAGACAGGGTTGATGATGTTTGTGATCGAAGACTTGACATTGTTTGTTGGCTATTGGAAAAATTCCATTGGTTTGCATTGTTTTCTGCGTCAATTAGTTTCACTTGATATTCGTATTATCTTAGGATGTGGTTTTTTCCAGTTTTAAATTTATTCAAATGATTTATTTATATTTAAATTTATATGTGTCGATCTATTAAGTAGCTATGGTTTCCCAATTTATTGCCTTCTTTGCATTATTTCACAGATGAAAATCAATCGTACAATTTATATAGGTTTTAACAATTATTCATATTTACTCAATAATCATATACAATCTTGAATTTCTGTAACTATTTTTATTAAAAGCTCGATTATTTGATAAATAAATTTATTATATTTTTCGTTACAACAACATATACTACAAAAACGACCACCTGGATACGTGGGCATGGACTTACACATTTAGAGCTTGCAATGTTGCCACTTCTATTTTTGTTATATCATTAATTATTTTCAACTCTTAGAGTAGCATAGATTTTTTTTCTGATATGACAGGAGAAATGTGTGTGCGCTAATGTGTGTTGGGTTGTTCATTACAATGCAATTAATATGTGTGTATTGGTAGAGTGTCTATTTGTTGTCATTCTTAATAATTACTGAAGAATGATGAATATATATATATATATATATATATATAAACCTAGGTTGTTTAATTTATGCAGATAGAAACTAACTTTTTGGTTAGTTTGAGGAATTGGAAAATAGTTGCAGTATTTGCTTTTTTTTTTGCCCAACATTAGTAAGAACTTAGAAAGTCGATAAACAGAGAGGGAGGAGAGATTTCATCAGACATCTTTTGTTAAATTCTACAAGAGACTTTGGCAAATTTTGTAAAATAAAATAAAATATGAAAATGTATTAATAATTTCTACACTTTATTTTTCGTTTACTTTACTCCATCTATATCAACTTCTCTAATTTAGGTCATCATTTATGCGGGTTGTTTAAATGTGTTGACAAAGATCATCTTTTTACTAACTTTTACAAAAAAAATTTAGCTGAATATTTTAGGAATATAAATGAGAGTTGTGTTAAGTAAAAAATTTAGCTGAATATTTTAGGAATATAAATGAGAGTTGTGTTAAAATCTCGCCATTGTTTATTAACAAGTTAAAGAGAAATTAATTTTCACATTAATATTAATCTGTTTGATTTTTACCAGTTTTCTTTATAACTTTAAAGTGTCCTATTATTTCAAAAAAACGATTTTCACAGAATATTTTAGACATACAAATGAATATTATGTTCAAATCTGACTATTTGGATGAACGATTTAAGAGAAATTAATTTCCATGTTAATATAATTAATCTATTTGATTTTGTTAAGCTATATTTGTTTTTCTCACATTTTACATTAATACATATTATCTATATTTTTTCACGATTAATTGTAACTAAAATGATGTTTATTTATTTTTAGTGAGACATTTTAGACAATAACAATTTAATCAGGTTTGAAGGATAGAGGAACTTTGGGCGTATTTGTTGGGATTTTTTTTTTTTTTTGGAAAACATTAACAAGCAAAAGTTTATTTGGGAAAATTGATAGGAAAAACCGAGACCTAATATTGTCACTATATTTTTACGAATCTCGATGTTATTACTGAAATTTAAATTTCACAAATAAATATTTTAATATTATGCAATATATATTCCTTATTGTCAATTTTATTTTTTATGCATTTAAATAAATATTTTATTCCCATTTGGAATGTTGTTCCGTGCATCGCACGGGATAAATTACTAGTGATCTCTAAATAAAAATCAAACATTTCTTTTATGAAATGCTATTTAGGGTTACAAAATTGCTATTTGTGGTTTTTTTTAAAAACCTCCCAAAACTTTCCAAAAAAATTAAAAAACCCCCCCAAACTTCAAATAGCAAAAAAAAAAAAAAAAAAAAAAAAATTCGAAAATTCAAAATCAAGCTTGAAGAAGGGTTGGACTTCGATTTTTTAATGTAATTTCGACCCTTTTATGTGTAATATGCATTGGGCAGGTCGATTGCGGAACCAATTTTATGTTAAAAAGCCCTACAAATCGATTTGTAGGGCTTTTTTCTTTCACAAAAACATGTTAGAACGCCCAAGGCGTGTACGAACGCCCGTTCTTTTTCATGTATTATAGACAATTCCTTATGTTTTCATTACTTCAAAAGCAGTGTCGTAGGGCCATGGCCCCCAACATTTCTCAAATCTTTATTAATTTATAAAAAGATATAAAAGAAAATTGTGTACAATAGTATTAACATCCTCCCTTAATTTTTTTTTTTAATTCGTTCGACCACCTAACTTAAAATTTTGGCTTCACTGATGTTTAAGTGTCAATTACTTAGTTGTACTAAGGTTTCTTTCACAATTTGAAACAAGAAGTAGGGTAAATAAATTTTCAATTACGTACATAAACGAGAAGTTGTGAATGTCGGAACAAATAAGTTTATATTTCTCTAGTAACGACTTTTAAATGTCGGAACAATATTTCTTTACAGGTGAAACTCTTAAACATCGGTAGCCACAATTGGCTTCGACACACTCGTGGTCGCTGCTACAACCATCTGGGCAGTGTTGTTGCGCGGGTGATCTCGAGTTGACTCGGTGAGTCAACTCTCTCGCTTCTCCACCTACTCCAAGCATCTTCGGTGATGGTAAAACTGCAAATAATCATATATATGAAGAGTGAATTAATATACTTTTATATGTGAATGTACAAAAATGACCAATCAACAAATAGCATTTCGTTACGAGATTAATCGATCCGGTCCAAATCTTATCTGAGCTAGAAATTTCGATGATAAATTTTTTTTTTTAAAGTCCTAATTAATAAATTAAGAATGCAAATATTAACTGCAATACTCTAACATTGTCCATGAAAATGCAAGATAATGTATTTATATATATATAAAAACACACCTGTTGAGAGCGAGAGAAATGCACTAAGATTCACCTGCACAACTCTCTCATTGCCCACGTTCAAAGTGTGGTTCTTGCGAGTGTGAGTTATTGACACGCTAAGGTGTGTGTATATATATATATATATATATATATATATATATATATATATATATATATATATATATATATATATATATATATATTACAGCCAATTGATGGTTTTAATAATTTAATTTTCCTATTAAATATTAGGAGGGTTAAGACAAGATCCTTAGATTGATACCTTTTGTCAAAACAATTAAAATAACATTTATTATTAGAGATTTTATATGATTTGTTAACGTTGATGATTGATAGAAATTGCAAATTAAATTAGCATTAATATTTCTTGAGGATTCTCAAAGATTTTAGCTTTTTCTTTCTTATTTTTTCCTATAAAATGTTGAATGATGCCTTGTATAAGAAAATAAATCAAGGGAAAATTTGAAATTAATTGATGGATGATTTTTCATATAATCAATAACATTGCTTAAATAATAATTTCTTCCGTCCTCTACTCAATAAAAATGTACTAAATTATTAGTTTGATAATTTAATATATCATTAAACTAATTAGATTTTTCTAGTCATACTCCATTAATTTGTGGAGATTTAATTGTATTCCAATAAAGTTGGTTGAAAGTGGAACTACTAATCACTAATTAGACAATTTAAATATTAATATTTTGAGTTTAGGACTTTTTAGATCGATTTTTTTTTTCTTTGGGGTTTTTTGGATGCAGGTAAGAGTTTGTAATTATTACTTTTTTGGTACTTTCCCCTTAAAAAAAATCGGGTTCTTCTCAATCATTGTAATTTAATGTATATGTCAATAGATCCTTCAAATTTATTCACATGTCAACTTGTTGTTATACATTATCTTCACGTCCAAGTTAACTGCTTTTGCCAGCTGGAGCTGCCACCTTCCACGTGCTGATTTCATCAACTGCTTCTCTTGTGATCATCCATCCAACTTGAACCAGCTCCAAGCACACACACACACACACACACACACACACATATATATATATGTGTGAATTATTTCACAAAAGTCCCACAAGTCCAGTTACATTAGGTCCAAAAAAATTTATCAATTTTAAGATAAATTCAAAAAGTCTTTTATTAATTAAAAAAAGTTAAGTTTTACCATTATACCCTTTAGGTGGTGTTTGCAAATGCTTTTTGAAAGTAATTATGTGGTTTTTTTTTTTCTTCTCATAATCTGTTATTAGGTGTTTGCAAAATCAACTTTTGCTTTTGCTTCTCTTAAAAAAATCTGCTTTAAGCTATTTTTTTAAAAGCACCCCTAACCCTGCTTTTTCTATTTAAGTTCATTTTCCGGAATATTTGCAAACACCCCCAACTTTTAGAACTAAGCACTTAAAACTGACTTAACTCACAATCACTAACTTCTGCTTTTAAATAATCATTTGCAAACACCACCTTAATTATTTATTCACCCCTAATTTTATTACGTACAATAATCGCCCCCTCTTACTCAAAAATAGAAAAAAAAAATCACAACCTCTTATTCGCCACCTCCCCGTTCCCGTCCCCTTCCACCACTACCACCACCACCACCACCACTATGCTCTGAGCAACTCCACCTTTCTCCACCGCCGCCGCGCCGTCGCCGTAGAGGAATGTCTCCGCCACTTGGATGGTAGCAGAGTGGTGGTCGGGAGGCACGAGATTCTGATTCGACCGTGGCCGCATCCGGATCCGGCGGAGGAAAAAAGAAAAAAAGAACTAGAATGGCGTAGTGGAATTCAGTTAATCTGAAGGTGATTTACAATGTTTTGGGATGGATATCTTTTGTGTGTTGGACCATTAGTTTTCACCCGCAAGTTGTACTGAATTTCGGGAGGAAAAGGTTAATTTTCACTCTTTAATTTCTTCATTTCATTTCATTTTATTGATGATTTACAATATTACTCTGAGGGGTTTGAGTTTTGAATTGATTTGAATTTCGGGGATGGAATGTGGTGGGGCTGAATTTAGACTATGCAGTGTTGGGGTTTGTGAAGCAATTGGCTAATTATCTGAAAAATCACAATCGTGTCCGTGAGATTATGAAAGTTTTTCCAAAGAGTTGCGTTGGATCGATTGAGCAATACGAGGTTTTAAGTTTGCGTTAGCCTCAGAGCAGAAACTAATAACTGGAAAGGTGGAGTAGTTTTTAATAATTATTTGCAGAACTTTATATTGGTTTTCAATAATTATGTACATATTGTTATAGTTGTTTTCAATATTTTACATAAATCATTATAAAAATCTGTAAAAAAATTATAGTGGTTTTCAATAACTTTTGTACATTTTTATACAACTCTATATACAGAGTAGTTTTTATGTTGACATAGTTGTTATACATAGTAGTTTTCAAGTTTATATAGTTGTTATACATAGGGGTTTTCATGTTATATAGTTGTTATATAGAGTGGTTTTCATGTTTATATAGCTGTTTATACAGAGCGGTTTTCATATTTATTTAAAGTGATTTTTATTTAAAAAAATGGAAAGAAAATAAAAAAAAACCATTTAAAATAAATTCGAAATTAAGAAAAAAAAAGACCATGAAAAAAATAAAATAAAAATAATTTTTTTTTTTGAATTAAAATAAAAAACATGAAAAATATAAATAAGAAAAAAAATAATTTAAAATAAAAAACCGAAAAAAATAAAAATAAACAATAAATAAATAATTACAAAATTTTCTTTTAAATTGAAAAAAAAAAACCATTAAACAAAATAAAAAAGAAAAGGAAAAAAAACTGAATTGGTATGATGAGGGGAATAATTTTTGGAAAAGATTTGGGTGTAGATTATGGGTATAATATTTTTTATATTAAACTAATTAATAATTAGTGGTGGCATATATGATTTTTCAGGCCCATTGAATTTATATCAAATATCATTTATGAATATATATATATATATATATATATATATATATATATATATATATATATATATATATATATATATATATATATATATATGGTTGATCCTAAAATAAATAAATCAAATGGGCCTAGAATAAAAGAAGCCCACGTAGTCTCAAGAAAAGAAACTTGTAAAAAGGAGTGTCGGGTTAATTAGTTTCGGCCGACGGTCAAGTCAATAGAAATCGTGTGTGTATAATTAAAGAAACATAACAAGAGTAAGATGCAGTTGGAATACCAGTTCCTCTTCTTTGCTTCTCTATAATGTATTTATACATGTCTCAGGAACGGGGTGGTGGGCTCCCCTTCAGTCTCTGATCATACTCACACGTGGGTGTGACGTGATTAATTCAAGTTGCATGTCTGCTGAAGGCGAGCTGTCCTATTTTCTACGGGCTGAATCAGTTCAAACGGGGAGAGCTCGTGGTTATTATCGACTCCTTTTAAATATCAAGTAAGTGTTTCCTTAATCCATGTCACATTGCAGATTTTCCACATTTTTTTAGTCACATCCGGCACCTATTGTCACCCTACATGGGCTAGTGGCTAGCTTATTGAGCTACGCGGAAGTGGGCTTGGACGTTGTTTGTAGAATCTTGTTGTTTGAACTTTTGAAGCAATCTAGCCCGCCCGTATCAATATATATATATATATATATATATGACTTATAAATCTTTGCTTAATTACATGTGGTCTTCTATGTGAAGTGAACTAAGACAAGAGCTTTTAATTAGATTTAACATATATATAGATATAACTAATTGGAACTTAATAAATTACAATTCAAAATGCATTATTGCAATTACAATTCATTTTCACATTCGACGAAAAATGCGAAAATTTACGGATGTTACTATACAATAACATCCCACGTAAAACTTATTAAATACATAGGAAACTTTAAATTAAATCTTGTAATAAAGCTTAGGCAGGGCACTGGAACCCATACGGTGGAGTTTTGCCGCAGTCCACAAGAACTTGTAGAGCAATAGGTATAAGAATATTGATGTTGAGCAGCTTAGCTTTAATTGCGGTGCAAAGACAAAGGGCCGCGTCTAAGTCGACCAGCCCTTCGAGTACCGGGCAGCATGCATTCTTCGGGCTCTGCCCGATTCCTATGTGCACTAGCCCGCCTAATACGTCCACACACGCCCCTAGCTTCAATGTGTCGATCGGGCATTTTTCGGGCGACTTTTTTGCCGGCGGTGGTGGTGGGCACGGTGTTTCTTTCGGTGTCGGTGGTGGTGGCGGTGGAGGACATGGAGTTTCCGGTGGTGGTTTTGGTACGACCGGTGGTTTTGGTGGTGGTTCGACTGTCGGTGGTTTTGGCATGATCGGAGGTTTGGGTATGATTGGAGGATGGATAACGGGTGGATTAGGTATGATTGGAGGATGGACAACGGGTGGATTAGGTATGATTGGAGGATGGATAACCGGTGGATTAGGTATGATTGGAGGATGGATAACCGGTGGATTAGGTATGGTCGGGGGATACACAATCGGAGGGTGCACAATTGGAGGTTTAGGTACGGTTGGTGGTTCGACTACCGGAGGTTTTGGCTCGACGGGCGGTGGTTTTGGGACGTACGGTGGTGGATTTACGACGACCGGAGGATGTGGCGTGGAGGAGGGCGGTGGTTTCATTACCGGCGGGTGTTTCGGAGGCAAATGTGGCGGTAGCTTTGGTGGATTGATTGGAGGAGTTGGGTAGTGGCATTCCGGACATGCTAGAGAGATGAGTAGAGTTCCTAAATTGAGGAGAGAGATTATTAGGGTTTGAGAATTTGTATTGTGTTTGGCCATGATTAAAAATGTTAGGACAATGAGTGTAAGAAATTAGAGAGGTTTTATAGACCAAATACTATGTTCTATTTCCAAAAAACAAGTGACCCTATTTGGTGAGAGGATATTTTGGGGTCCCACTATTTTGCAAAAAGGATTTATATGAGTTTTTGTCGGATAGCTCGAGCTCGACAAATTTGAGCTTGAACTCGAGCTTTTTTCGAGCCAGCTCATTGAACTCATCAAATGAAAGCTCTATGAGCTCAGCAAATTTGGTTCGAGCTCGAGTTCGAGCACATCAAATGAAAGTTTTATGAGCTCGAGCTCGAGCTCACCAGATTTGACACGAGTTCGAGCTCGACTCATTTACACCCTTAACCACTGCTATAATAGCTCAGTAGTTCAAGCATTTCTAAAGATGTACCGACATCTATATACCTCAATCCAAAGCATAGCCACTACTATAATAATTTGGATATTCAAACTTAAATTGGATTGTCTTCATTGATTGACTTTTGGAGGAAAACCACAAACACCATTTTGTAATTAAGCTCCAAATTGTGTGGGGTCGAATTATGGATTTTTTTGGCTCCAAAATTCAAACTTTGCAAGACAATGAAATCGGGTAAAACGCGTTTCAAATTTTAACGTTTTCTTTTGACAGTGACTATTTATCCCGTGATTGATTCAATTTCCAAAAATTGCGTTAACCACTTCCTTTTTTTTATCTTGTAATTATATTCTTACTATGTGAGGATATAATAATATAACATCATTCCCTCAAGGACAAAAATCCTAGGAAGATTTTCCTACGTGTACTTCAATGGAATTTACTCCAAAGTCCAAATATTGTCGGGAAGTTACATGTTACACCTGGTTATTTGCACAACATTGATTTAAACTGTTGATTTGATTAAGTAATGTACCACACACTAAGCACACATATACATAACTATGTGTGTTATTATGTGTAGATTTATGGTTTAACGCAATAGTATAAATAATCAGGGTGTAACATCTAATATACCAATCATATGTGCAAATCAAGAGAGCATAAATCTTGATTAGGTTGTCGGCAATGAAACATTAAAGATTTTT